GACTCCGCAGTTGGTGAACGGTCGAAAGAATGGGTCCAGGCGGGCTCGTGGTAGGTCTCCTGTGACGGGCTGCTGCGGCTTCGTTCGGCGTATGCGGCAGAGTGCGCAGTTCCGTTCCACTGTGCGCACTGTAGGTCGCAGGTGTATGATCCAATATCGCTGACGTAAGTCGTTGGTTACGCGTTCCCTGCTTGCGTGGCCGGCGGCGCAGTGTTCGCGAAGAACGATTAATCTCGTGAGCGCGTGCCGACCGTCCAAGATGACAGGCTGTTTTGCACTTGCTGGTATGGACGCCGCTCCTATGCGCCCTCTTAATCTCAGTAATCCGTCTTCTATGATGGGGTCGAGCCGAAAGATTTTGCTCGACTTAGGGATTGGTCGTGAAGCGTTGATGCGTCGTATGTCGTCCCCGAAGCTCTGCTGTTGCGCGTGTTGAATAAGCAGTCGCTCCGCTCGTTCTATGTGCCGACATTCCATACGTGTGGCGGTTCTTCTTATGCGAATATCGACGAAAGCTAACACTCGCGCTGTTGTTCTCACGAGTGTTTCATACTTGGAGAAGCGTGTGGGATCGGGTAGCCACGTACTTGACTGTTCGTTTTCACTGATATGCATGACGTCTGCTTCTTCGTACGTGAACGCTTTTTCGGTGGGCCACTGAGATGTTGGTGACCGCAGGAAAGCTGGACCCTGGAACCATCGGTCTTCTGCCTTTATCGAGCTGCTGAAAAGTCGTGTGGCGTCGTCGGCTACGTTCAGGTCAGTCGGTAGCCATCGCCACTCCTCCTTTTGAGTGAGTTCCGATATTTCGCCGAGTCGATGGGCGACGAATGGTGTATATCGTCGCGTCTCGTTGCGCACCCAATGTACCACTGTTGACGAGTCCGTTCAGAAGACAGTTCTGTCGATGTCGATGCGAAGTTCCCGTCGTATGGTGTCCGCCAACCTCGCCCCGATGACTGCTGCTTGGAGTTCTAGTCGTGAAATTGTCTGTGTCTTCTTCGGCGCCACCTTCGCTTTCGCCGCCACGAGTGCTACGTCGACGTCTTGTTCCGGCCCGATGATGCGCCAATACGCCGCAGCGGCGTAGGCTTGCTGGCTGGCGTCGTAGAACACGTGTAGCTCGTAGCGTTTGCGCCCGTTCGGTGAATAGCAGCGGGGTATTCGTAGTTGCGCAATGTTATGCAACTGTTAAGCGCGGCTACTGCGTCCCGTGCTTCGCCCCTGAGGCAGCTTCTCAGTCGTTGGACGTTTTCTGCCGACGATATGTGATATATGCGTGTTGTGTCTCGGAATGCAGCGTAAAACGGCAGCCACTCGTTGATCGCACCCGAGAAGGTCGGTAGGTCGGTGTGCCGTAGTCGTGGTCGAGCCATTTTTTCTAGTGTAGCTGCTAATTGTTCGATGCCGCTTTTTCTTGTGGGTGATTTCGGCCTGTGACCGCCTCTTATTTCTTCTCGCGGCACTCCCCCCGTTGTCACCTCCCCCCTTGGTTCGAGCGGGTTTGAGTGTAACCACTCGACCACCTATTCTCGTTCTTGGGCAGGCGTGAACGGCGCCTCATGTAGCGACTCCTGGTCGTCCTGAATGGCCGACACCTCGGCGGCTAGTCTTTTCTTGACCAGTTCTGCTTCAAGTTCCAGTTCTTTTGGATTTTATGTTGGCCAGTCTTTCCGCCGCCTCCAGTTCTGCCAGCCTCAACCTCGTGTTGACGCTGGCTGTCGAGCGGTGTGACATTGCTGGCGATCGTTGACGGCGATGATCATTTTGTTCCAGTAGCGCTGAAGAGGGTTCCGTAGGGGCGTGGATCGTGGCCGAGGCGGGCAGACGGGTGCATTGTTCACCGGTACCTGTTCGGTGTGGTACGGGTGACGCTGGAGGTTCGAGGGACAGTCGTCGTTGACGTTCTAACTCAATACGATCGATCTGTCGTTCTTGCGTCCGTCTTCGTTCTTCCGCGTCGGTTGAGTCGCCTTGGCTCCGGGTAATAACCATTTTCTTGTTTGAGCTCTTCGGAAATCTTCTAGTTGACAGCAAATGTTCTTCACTATCCGGCTACTCGATGGACCAAAACTGTAGTGGACTGTATTTAATTTTGAATGTTCTTCCAATAAAAGAGTTCTTCCTTGTAGACGTTTATTATTTTTCATCAGAATTGAGCCGTATCGTCCAAATTTTTATTTACATATATATATATACACTGACATTGGTATAACAATTAACTAGTATTTAAATGCTAATCTTCGGGCGTCGACCAATCACGGCCTCGATCCGCCGTCGCGGTGGCGCCACCCAGGGCAGTTCGACAAGCGGTGATTTCGCTGCAACTGGTTGCTCTGCCGTTGCCTAGTAGGACGCGCGACGAACTATTGCTTGACGCGATGTGGTCGTTCAACCGGTGTGTTAGGCGGCACTTTGTTATTTTCTTCAGGTAATTACGCCTGTAAATTATTTAGGCGATCCGTTGGCCGCTTGAGTCGCTAACAACGATGTTAACAATACTACTATCTCCGCCGTAGTACATTGATTTAGTGCTAACAACTTAATGTTGAATAGTAGCTTCTCAGTACATACATAAATGTTATGTATGTCCATAAAAATAAGAATGATTTTTTTAAGATTTAGTAATGTATATGATATAAATACTAAGAACAAACAAATTAATTCTACGCTCATCTAGATTGCGTAGAATAAGTAAATCTTTTATGGGTTCAATGTTTACATGCATTCAATGTTTACGTTTTACAACAAAATCCCAGAAAACGTTCGAAATGAATCAGTTGCTAACATAGATAATACATATACTGAAAATCTAAATTCTTTGTTCTTAATTTGGTTGCTAAATTAAAAAAAAACTTTTAAAGGAACGTTTGTGTGATAGAGGCTATTATAGCAATAGTGATTAATTAAATGATAACACACTCTGGAAATGAATTAATCGCTCCAGGCTTTTTCAAGTGGAATAGAACATACTTTAGACATGTTTGTAATATTTGTCAAATTATGTTTAAAAAAATTGTGTATTGATAATTCTTGTTTTTTGACAATTAATAAGTAAGTGTAATACTTCTATATTGAATAAATATATTTGAATTTGTATTATAGTTATTAATTTTAAGGATAGCATCTTACGTACAACTGAAGAGAAAACGCAGGGGGTCAAATTTTTAGATAGAGGCTGAACATAACTGTTGCTCGGCGTACGCTATAATTATGTATTAGTATTTCCCACTAAAGAGCACATGTAAATTATAAATTATTTATCCATAACCGTTTATAACACTAGTTTATTGATATTATTTTCAAATACTACATATAAAATAATAAATAAAATTATTTCAAATATCACTTTTTCGTTCAAATTCGTGTGACAGGACCAACGAAATAGCATAGGTATGTCAAACCGGCAAAGTGCGAGTCGAACTCGCGCACGAAAGGTTCTGTATCATTATCTATAAAAATGGCAAAAAAATCAAACAGTCTTAGTAATGTCTCGTTTTACCCTTTGGGTACGGAACCCTAAAAAGGAATAATTCGAGATTTGACTCTCGCCTTTTTCCTTCACCAATACTGGATCAATATGAAAAATACTAAGAATGTAGACTGTACCTAAGGTTTTTCTTTTTTTATTACATACTTGTCTCAATGATATTATTAAATACGAGGGAGATATGACAACTAGCGCACCGAAACTGAGGCACTCAAATTACACCAATTTGTGTAATTAAATTGCAATTATATAGACTTATCTCTTTACGTATCATACGTACTATGTGTATCATCTGTCACATTCACATATATGTCATATAATGTAAAGCGGAACAATTTGAAAGTTCTTATATTTGTATACTACGAGTCTGTTGACAGGGATCTAAAATCCTCCAAAAATGTTCAACTTTGAACATTTTTGGAGGATTCTAGTGCTTATAGATAATGAGATATCATCAAAATGGAAAACATAGGAACATAGTCTTTATTTTCTAAGTTAATATTACTGCAAAAATCATTGATTTATGGTTGTAACATATAAATAAAGAAAACAGGCGAGTTTCTGTGGAGAAACGCTCTAGCCACCCGCGATCCTCTAAGGTTCAAGAAACCGGTACTTATATATATTTGGTTATAAATTCACATTTTCACCGAGGTAGATCAACAACAGATTAAATGTAAATATCCTACTAAACAAACAGGCAAGCTTAACCGGCATCTTCAACACCAGGCATGTTTCGAGTGTTCATAGACGGCAGTCGACAGACCTGACAGTCCATAAAACGAATTTTATTCAGTTGTCTTACGTTTTTATATATTACTAGCGACTCGCCCCGGCTTCGCACGGGTGCAATGTATTATACATATAAACTTTCTTCTTGAATCACTATCTAATAAAAAAAAAACCGCATCAAGATCCGTTACGTAGTTTTAAAGATCTAAGCATACATAGGGACAGACCGACAGCGGGACTATTTTGTTTTATACTATGTAGTGATCAAAGACTTTTGAGACAGAAATCTATCCCCAAGAGCATCTAATATGTTCTACAAAATACGAATAAAAATAGCCCCATGAGTTATTTGGCTGAAATGACCCGATAGGACCTATCAAGAAGGCCCATCAGTTCATAATCAATATACAGTTATTTTATCTAAAGTAGGTAATAGAAAAAACATTACATTTGACAAATTATTTTTATTTTAATATTAACTACTGAACATAATAATTATACATACTATTTTTTAAAAACTTACTTTTTATATTGAAATACGTTATATGATGAATTGTTGTATAGGAATTGTCAATATTGAAAAATACAAGTTGCTCAGGAATGAGCTTTGAATTAGTAAAATAACTTTAAAATCGCCACCACACTTCGAAATAATATTTATCCACATACAATCAAACAAAAGGTTTTAATCACTAATGCAAGTATATTTTAATGAGGAAATTAAAATTTTATTTTTTATTTTCTGGAATTGCATAAATTGCAATGGAAATATAAATTAATCCAAATGAAAATTAGCCATGTTGTTGTACTGTTCAGACCAAGCGGGGAACGAAGATCCGTCCATTTCGGGCGCGTGGGCATTGTCTCTGAGCAGCGTGTGCGACTGTCCACCTATAGCGGCGCCACATTCGATGCATTTGGAGACCTGCATGGCACCGCCACATTCACCGATGCAGTAGATGTGGCCATTTGGACATTTGTACCAATGCCCCGCTTTGAGACCGATCGCCTTCACGATTAGGTCCCGTTCCTGTTTAGTCACTATCCCGGAGAGTTTCACTGCTTCTTGCAACACGTCTAGGGATTTAACCGCTTTCTGTTCATTAAATACGCACCAGCCAAGTATGCTTTGTTTAGCTCCGGCCAAGGCTTGATTCACGTTAGGGTGTGTTTTCGCCAACATGTATGCTGCATGGCTCAATATTTTGCTCAGTTGAACCGTAGAGTGTATCCTCTTAATCTCATTACCAATGTCTTTTTGTTGTTGTTGACTTATTTTGTTTATATTTGCATTTGAATAGATAAATATTGTTGTCATTTGTTCTTTTATTTCATTTTTTAGCTCATTAGTGTTAGAAGGTTCATATTTCTGGTGTATATGAAATATCATTTCCAATATTTCCAAATGAATAGAAAGCATTTCCAAGCTCAGAAGAGATAAATTCACTTTGCACTTTACTTTTGCTAGAATACTTTTTAAATATCTTATCCCTTCTGCGGAATCTGAAAATAAAATAATTTTTGGTGAACGCGAAGTGTGTAAAGTCTCCTTTACTTTTGTAATTTTAATAAATGACTGAAGAAATTAAATTCAATCATTAATAAATAAAGTTCATTCCAGAGATAAATTTATGTAATGTTTGTACTAAAACGAGGTATAATAAATAAATATTTCAGAACATATTTTCATACAACGTAATTTGGTCCCAAGCTAAGCAAAGGTCGTACTAAGTATATAAGGATTTTTTAACTCGTAAAACCTAAAGTCTAAAACCTAAAGCCTAAATCATTTTTTCTTTCGCAACTAGTAACCAGCCTCTCGGTATTCTACAGAATACATTTTGGAGAGTGTGCGTTGGAGTTGCATGATCTTATTCCTCCCGCCCCTTTCCATCATCAGACAACTGATGCTGTCGACGTTCCACGTACGAGAACAAAGCGATTGGCTTCTTCATTTATCATCCGTACAGCTAAGGAATGGAATAACTTGCGGGCGTCCGTCTTTCCGTCCGAATACAATGTAGGAGGCGATTTCAAGGCAAGAGTGAATAGGTTTCTACTGAGCTAGCGCGCTCATTAACGGCTGCATCGCCACTTACCATCAGGTGGGATGGCAGTCAAGTGCTAGCCAGTTTTGAAATAAAAAAAAAAGAAAAACTAAATACCTGCGTACTATTGATTTATAAGTCACACATTACAAAAACACAATGTGTTTCTGGTCGAAGGTATAACCTACCTAGAACCCTAGCTAGATCTTGTGGTGCAGGAGCGTAAACTAGATTTTTTAAAGAGGTTCCCTTATATCCATATACCTACAATTTAGTTTTAATAACAACTAGCGACCCGCCCCGGCTTCACACGTGTGTAATGTATTATACATATAAACCTTTCTCTTGAATCACTAGTAAAAAAACCGCATCAGGATCCGTTGCGTTGTTTTATAGATCTAAGCATACACAGGAAAACAAAGTCATCCCGCTGTCTAGCGAGACGACTTTGTTTTATACTATGTAGTGATAACATCTACAGTATTTCCGAATTAATATGACATATTTTTTTTTTTTTTTTTTTTTTTTATGCGAAAAGTTGTCAAACGAGCAGACGGTTCACCTGATGTTAAGTGAATACCCCCGCCCATGGACATCTGCTACACTCGAGGGTTACAGATGCGTTGACAACCTTTTGAAAATTGGGCTCCGGCTACCTCACTCACCAGACGAAACGCGAAAGTATTTGTCATACTTCCACTTTACACCGGTCTTCTGTGAGGTCGTGGTACTTACCCGGACGGGCCTGCCCATTCGTGCAACAGCCGAGGCTGCTGCGTGGCCCTACCACCGTAAAAATATATTCGGAAGTGGTAACTTCTTTAGGGGCGCCGAGCACTTTATTTTGTGGGTATTGAATGAGACTAAGCCGTAACTTTGCTCGTCCATTTCGACAGAGAAATGCCACTGTACTTGCCGTAGTGTATGTCATATTATGTATTAGCATGTAGAGTGTGGTTGAGAAAATAATTATTAAAACAGTCTTAATGCAGCGCTCGTCTTTGACTTACGTTCCCTGTGCCCCTATAACACACATAACATGGCGCAGCCGGTATTTTAAAAGGACTAATGTATATTAGAAGTAAAAGAGAAGTGATTAAACACTAAATTTATAAGTGTAAAAGTAGCGTGAAAAGTGTAAGAATACGAACAATTTTAAGTACAGTGGAGGCAATTTTACAACCACCGCAACCGTTTATGTTCGAGAACAATCTAGTGAACGTTACATCTGGAAACTTGAGTAGAGAATGGGACAGGTGGATGAAGAGTTTCATAATTTATTGTGAACTGAGTAAAAAAGATCCCAAAGTACAAATAAACATTTTACTTCATATAATCGGTGAAAAATGTAGGTGTATGATCAGTTCACGGGTAAATGTGAAACGGTTAACAAAGTATTGGAAAAGTTCGACAGCCACTCGTCCGGTGCTCGCCTACACGCACTACCGCGCCCTACACGCACTACCACGCCCTACACACACTACAGCAAGTTCAGTGGCATTTCTCTGTCAAAAAGCAATACGTGCAATTTGTTATCGGCCCCTGCACTAATTTGATTGTTTACAATACGGCAAGCGAGGAGTCAAGTGCCCGCGGGGGTTAATCGGCGCGAGGGGCGCACTTGCACCAAAAAATAGAATGCGATTCTATTTCGGCCACCAGTCAGCTTAAAACCCGCTTTACACATTTTTGTCATGTAAATTTATTGGAAATGTTATATGTTTTTTTTTATGCGAAAAGTTGCCAAACGAGCAGACGGGTCACCAGATGTTAAGTGAATACCGCCGCCCATGGACATCTGCTACACCCGAAGGTTACAGATGCGTTGACAACCTTTTGAAAATTGGGCTCCGGCTACCTCACTCACCAGACGAAACGCGAAAGTATTTGTCATACTTCCACTTTACGCTGGTCTTCTGTGAGGTCGTGGTACTTACCCGGACGAGCCTGCCCATTCGTGCAACAGCCGGGGCTGCTGCGTGGCCCTACCACTGTAGTTATATAATACTTAATAAATAAAAATTTTAAAGTTGTATTTCGTAATATTATCAGCCACGTCTTCAGACAGTTTGCACTTCTGTCGTATTGTCTCACAATTTTTTTTAATTATCATTTTGAAGTTAAAAAATTATATGAAATTTAATATTGAAAAAATAACAAAGCAGTTGCCAAAACCAAAAAGTAAAATAAATTTACCCCTGAAAGTGATTCTAAATTCATTTCCTAAATGGTCGAGTTTTTCCAACAATTCTTTCTTTTTAATTTCGATTTTTTCTTTAGTTCCATAAACACGCTCCTTCACGGGGTTGATTTCCATTGCAAAAGTATTGTTCACAAGGTCCTTGTAGCGGCTAGTGTTGATAATTGGCTTTCGGCAAAAGGGACATGTTCGTATTGCGATGGTTTCTTTGTCGGCCATCATGAAAGTATCCATGTTTTCAAGCTCCATAACATGCGTGCAGTCTTGCAATTTAATAAATCTGTAAAAATGTGCATTCGATATTTATTTTTATAAAATTTTTTTATTTTTATTTTATCTCAATCGCAAGTTGCGCGCTACAGAAGTTTATTGATGCTTATCTTAATATATACAAATTTTCTTGTCACCATGTTTGTCCGCGATGGACTCTTAAACTAATTCACTGATGTTAATCAAATTTGTACACAAACGTTGCAGTTTGATCCAACTTGAAAGATAGGGTAGCTTACATCTCAATTAATACTCGCAATATTATTTTATTGCAAAATATTTGTTTATTAGATGACAAATATTTCCATAAGTTATCTGTGAGTTCCATAAGACTTCAACAGATGGCGGTGTAAGGTAAATTTGTCAGCTGGATTGAGTAAGTGTCCAATAGATGGTGCTATGTTAAAAGTCGAAACGTATGGTCCCGATAGATTTGCCAGTATACAATAAGTTCTTCACTTAATCTTAATCAACTTTCGTCAACAGTCGCCGTAGGGTGCATTGTTCTAACCGAAATTGCCAGGACGGAAGCGAGCAAAGCAAACAAGTCGCGCGCGCGTCGTCCTAGTCCGCGCGAGGGTGGGTGAGGGTGGGTGAGGGTGAAGGCGGCTACCTGGCGTCGTCGTCGAACTCGTCGCCGAGGAAGTCCTTGGGGAAGTGGTCGGGGCGGCAGGCGCGGCAGACGTCGGGGCAGGGCTCGCCGCAGAGGCCGCGGCAGCCGTGGCCGCAGGGCAGCGCCCGCGGGCAGGGCGCGTCGCAGGGCGCGCGCGAGCACGGCTCCCCGCAGCGGCGGCTGCACTCGCCGTGCGCGCACGACCGGCTGCACGGCTCCTGCGACGGGACCGCACCGCGATACACCCACGCCGAGACCTCTCCGGGCATCTGCTACGCTGCTACTCACGTGATAGTGAGACTATACCAAAGTGATAGTGATTGCGCTTTCGCGTTCCACCGTATTTGCACTGCTAATCATCCAAAGTAAAAAAGAAAAATGCCAATTACCTGGCAAGGCGGGCAAACATCACCGCACAGTTTGTTGCATTGAGAGTGTGCACACTTCACTTCGCATGGCAGCTTGCATGGGGGGCACACTTGATTGCATGGTTCCTGACATCTGAAACATAGCAGCGTAATAATTTAAGTAAAGATGCTCAGATTACAGCTCATCAAATTTAAGATATACGTTATGTTGCCTCGTTTTTTCGTAATAATTGTGTTCAGAAGTAAAACGTGTAAAATGGTGTATAGAGTATTAAAACGCAGTTCTCAATTCTCTTAATTGTAAATTTTACTCTACTCCATTTCAATACTAAGTCATTATAGTACTCGCGTTATGAACTGAATCGGCAAGCTATAAAATATGCCGGTAGCAATAACAATGCTTTACCATCCACGATATTTTATACTACAGATATGTTGTTAACGCGCCCGAAGTGACGCCATGAAAACATCCTAATTGGGACGTCTTGTCTTTAATTAACGTTAAGCTGGTCGGCGAGAAAGACGCGGCGTCAAAAATTTTAGAATAATAAAAATTCTATTGTATCTTTAAAAGACTAGTCTAAAGTTAATAATCGAATCATGTACATAATGCAATAATATATCTTCAATTTATTAGTATTGTAATCGTATTACGTTGGGTGACTTTTGAGACGTTTTATTTAATTTTTTACTATAAAAAATAAAATAAGTCTGCTGTGAGCGGCGATCACAAAGACCAACTGGTCTTTGTTTTTTTTTTTTGATGTGAAAAGTTGCCAAGCGGTTCACCTGATGTTAAGTGAATACCGCCGCCCATGGACATCTGCTACACCCGAGGGTTACAGATGCGTTGACAACCTTTTGAAGATTGGGCTCCGGCTACCTCACTCACCAGACGAAACGCGAAAGTATTTGTCATACTTCCACTTTACGCTGGTTTTCTGTGAGGTCGTGGTACTTACCCGGACGAGCCTGCCCATTCGTGCAACAGCCGAGGCTGCTACGTGGCTCTACCACAGTTGTGATCGAACCACGTGACAAAACTAATCTATACAACTGCAACTGCATAGCTTAGTTTTCTCACGCGTCGCACAAAGTACAATATTTCAATTATTTTCTTAGGGTCTGTTTCACAATGTCCAAATAAAGTCCTGAATAAGCTATTTGCCACTTATCATCGTTGGCGTTTCACAATTATGTATGTATTCACTTAACATCAGGTGAACCGTCTGCTCGTTTGGCAACTTTCACATAAAAAAAAAAACCCACGTCCCAATAAAATATACAGGTGGTGACAATACAGAAAGCTATCGGAAGAGAAAACGCCAATTCTCGTTCAATGTTCAAACATACATTGGTTTAGACTTGAAAATAATGGACATGGTGGCTAGATGGCCTGAAGCCACACACGACCAAACAATATTTAAAAATTCGTTTATAAAACAAAGATTTTTGAACAGAGAATTTGGTAATAGTGTATTTGTTGGTGATAAAGGTTAACAAAATACATTTAATCTATTGACTCCACTTCAAAATCCTGTTACACCAGCAGAACATCTCTATAAAGAATAAGAAGTAGGAATCTTCTTGAGCGGACTTACGCTGGTCGTAAAATTAGGTTTCCTATATTAGCAAAAAAGATAATATAAATTCGTCTCGTGTCCAGTCTGTAATTGTAGCATGTGTGGTGTTGCACAATATTGCAATTTATCTAAAAACTGTTTTTATATCATGATAATTGTTTAAGATTATGTATTTCAGGTATATAAATACGTAACACAAAAAAATGTTTTATGTTCTCATATTTCCCGTAAATCGAAACACCAAAATGCGACGTTGCCATCTCTATCTTACAAGTAACAAACTGACAAATAACTTTAATGGTAAGACGTTTGTGAAACGCAAACTATTTTAACAGGAAGTTTTTTTATGTGGCAGTTAATTTATTTGTCAGTTAGTTATCCAACACTTTATTCAGACATTGTGAAACAGACCCTTAATATTTTAATTTGTTTGTTAGAAATTTTATTTTGTTACATATGTTTTTTTTTTGTTAGAAATAATATAATAATAATTATACATTCATAATAAAATGTTTATAAATAAATAAGCTTTAGCATAACGGACATTCTATGTAAATGTGATTATGAATAATAACGTTTGGGTATACATTACCGAACTTTAGATACAGTTGCTCAATGTTACTCATAACAATACACTGCTTTATTGATTACTTTATGTAAATAATAAACAAATGTTTTACTCGGAATAAAAGCGTTGACTTGGGCTAAGACCGTATCCGGTGATAAATATTGTAACAATGTGGTTTTGTTTTTGCCAAACAATAATGCTGAAATTGTTATATTTAGAAGCACTTGGAATTGTGACTAATTTTAAACGAAGTTTATCGCCTATGTCGTGAATAGGAGCGAATTCAATTCAATTACATTACAAAAAATCAGCTGTTTCTATCGTTGCAAAATATCTTTTTGTTATACTGTTTATCATATTTAATATTCTTTTATCTTCACGAGATATACCATAAGGAACAACTTTATTGTCTTCACGATGTTCTGCTAATACCTGGTAAAAATATAGAATTGTAAATAAAATGAATCGTACTGGTGTCCACAAATGTTCGTTTGGTGGCAGGTCTGCTTGCAGGGGGCATGAATACGCCCTTGAAAGCATTTAGAACAGGTGCCTTGACATCTATGACCACACATCAACGTTTCCTTACACGGTTCCTCGCAGTAGCGCAAATATATGTCCTGGGCTGTTGAATCTGTAATATTAAAGTGTCAATTGCTTGACTAGAGCGAACAGTGAGAAAGCAATTCTCATCTAAATATTACAAACCAAAAAATAACGTCTTTTTTGAAATTTAAATTTTTATAGTGCTGATCTCTGCACTTAAGACGTACTTTTTTCTAAAATTTTTAATCTATTTTTGGGTATTAGTTAGCGATAATAGTTTTAAAAGTGTGAATACGAAAGTTTTATCATTCCTTTAAAGTTTACTGTGATGTCACAATAATTAATTTCCTTTAGTTTTTTTAATCTTTAGAAGATGGCAAGCGACCTTACCATTCATCTGATGGTGATAACCGCCGCCCATAGACATTTGTAGGGTTTTGTAGATGCGTTGCAATCTTTTAATAAGGTAGGCTCCGGTTATCTCACTCACCAGACGAAAGGCAGCAGTAGGTAAAACATATAACCGTAACGTGTCATAACCATAAAGAACACACTTTGCGATCGCACCCTAGCCTAAAGCAAAATAAAAACTCACCATTTAGAATAAAGTGATAAACGTTACACGGCAAACGAACTTTATGACCACATGGCGAGTTGAAATCTTTATCTACTTTCACGGTGCAATTAGTTTGCTTGCATGGATCTTTGCACATCCGATCACAGGGGTGTCCGCATGGCAATGTGCGTTCGCATTTACTTGTGCACAGCTCTCTGTTTGCAAGCGCCTTACATTCAACTTTAATTGTGTGGCCACAGTCGGGTATTGTCTTATTAACCTGTAATAAGAAATAGGCTGTGACGTCCTTCAGCATTAAATAAGGCCTGACTATAAAACTACCTCCTGTAAATACATGCAAACATAAAATGATATTTCAAGTTTATTTAAAGTGTGTGTTTTGTGGCCCGCATTTAATTCCAGCGTTTAATTCCAGAATCTCGGCGTCTGCTTATGTATTGGATAATCTTACTTTATAATACATGTAGAGATTTCTTAATAATCACGAAATGGTCGCAACTTTAAGGTGCCTAGGAATAATTTCTCTTTTACGCATGCATTCGTTTCCCAGTGCAACGTTCGGTTACCTGTTGTAGTCAAATGTATAAAATGGGACCAGAATCATGTATTACCGACCCACCCGTTAAATTCATGGATGAAGTCCGGTTCCATGGGTCAATAAAGTAAAATACTTTGGTGTCGTCCTCCACTCTAAGCTCAAATTCAGCCAGCACGTGACTCTGGCCAAGAACCGGGCGGCCTTCGTACTCGGTCGCTATCGCTACTATCCATTTGTAAATAAGACGTCAAAAATGTCCCTTCGGAACAAGGTACGCACTATAATGACGTACGCGAGCCCGATTTTCGCGCATATTGCTCCGAAGCAAAAACACCGGCTACTAATTATCCAGAATCGATTCTTGCGAAGAGCATCGACCTACATTCCTGAAATCGGCGTCGCCCTCCTTTGAATCCGCTGCCGCGTACCTCAATCCGTTAATTGCGTAAGTGCCGTCACTTACAAACACTCACCGCAAGGTATTTTTCCGCCGCAGTTGGCGTAGACTGCGACACGCCCTCGACTACCCTGATGATGAGACGACTATCGCCATCCACAGGGTTAAAAAAGTACGCAAATAGACCAGAACAAACCGCACTCGCCGGCAAACATATACTAGATTCCGCCATGTACCTGACCGGTTTTCTCCCTTTAATGATAGAAGCGTTGTTGGAGTTTCTTCCGCCACTTCTTCTCCCAGCGCCAACGCTGTCCTTAGTGGTAATAATGATAGATCTAGAAATGCTTCCAGACATACTATGGCTACCGATCGAGCCGAGGGTATTGAGTGACAACCCAAGCCGGGGTCCCATCTCAGGTGCCCTTGAGCCTAGTCACTCCGCCAAAGCACCCTTAGAGCTTGGTGGCATTCCGGAGCATTCCTCGGGAGCCCTCGAGCTAAATCACCATAACGCGTAACCGAGGTTTAAAATAGGCGCCCCGAACGCTCGGCCACCTCAAGACAAGTGGTATATCCTGCCAAAACAAAAAAGAAAGAAAAAGTATTACCTTCTGTGTGCAATTTCCGCAGGGCTCGCTGCATTTGTTTTTACAGAAGTGGCCGCAGGGCAGTGAGCGCGAACATTTCTTTTTGCAAGAAGTCACGTCCACGTCTACATTGCACGGGACGCGCTCCGAATGCTTGCAGCTTGATCGTTTCTTATTGACCTGCAAATCAAACAAGACTAAAGAGACGTCACATAACCCTCTGTTTTCCTTGTTTTCTATGGTCTTTTCACCGTTATCTGGGGACCAACAAACTTGTTGATTATAGTAAAATACTTAATATTAAAGCTGTGGGATTGTTGGCGGCGTACATAATATAATGAAAATATTTGTTTAGATCCTTTATTTTCATATATTACCTTTATGTCCTTAAATTATTTATTTTTAATAGTGACTTATATGAATTACTTCTATGGTATTGTAGAAGGTCGTTTTTAGAACACCACATTCAATTATTGTAAAAATTGTAAGGATGTAAGAGTAGATGGTTATTGCATCATCCTTCCGACCTATATATTATGCGGGCAGTGACCCCTATCTTTCTATGTTCCTTCATTTTTTGTTGTGTGCACGTAAATCTAACGGTTAAAAAAATATTTTTCAAGTTTGCGAAAAAACGTCCATCTCAACATAAAGTCCGTGTTCTTCATTTAGCCCGCGTCCTGTTCAGTGGTCCTTCGAAACCGATCTGAACCTATGGATGGTGATACCAAATGAGCAGGTACAGGCCCGTGCAAACACAAACCCAGCGGAGTCAGGGCTGCACATGGTTCGTTTCTCTTACCTACAATTACACTTAACGGTAATAACAAATCACAAGTATCCGGGCCTATGAGTAGTTCGGGTACAGAAGTAACAGTGAATAACTTATGTCTATTTTCGATATTTTTGGATTCTTATCACCTATTACGATAAAAGGAAAAATAATGCTACAAGTATGGAAATCTAACATTAAACGGGACGAAGAAACACCGGACGAAATGAATAATAAATTGATGAATGGGTAACTCATTTAAAACGTATAAGCGACCTGCGCTTACCGAGATATTACAAAGTGACAACGAGTAGAAGCGAGACAGAAACGTTATCGATGACGCATACGCACTATACTCACGCGCAGCAACTCGCCGCCGTGCCGGTTATAGCAACTAACATTTACATATACTTATATTGTGATGCATCTAAAAAACCGATGTGCGCTGTAGCGTAGCCCGGGCGTTGGATAGACAGCGGTAAAATATAAGTATCATTCATAGCTATCCGCTGTCGCGTTGCCCCAGTGAAGTTCGTTACGGTACCGCGCCTCGAAGTTCAGGCATCACTACTCGCCGCGCGCCTGCTTAGCTTAGTACTATTATTAAAGAACACTGCCTCGGACATGAACGGGTATTCTGGTGTGATTCCAGTGCTGCCTTGCACGAAAGGTTAAGAAAACGTTAAGAAACAATAAAAATTATAAAACATTTATTGCTCATCGCTTAGGAGAAATCGGCTAGTTCACAAAAATTAACGAATGGACATTCATACCACCTTAACGACCACACTGCGGTGGAGCATGGGACTGCCTCATCCCTACCATAAAAAATGCCCTTCAGGGCATATTGGTTATACTAAAGGCCCGTGCTCCCCTGGAGGATGTTCTACGCACACTGCTTAATGAAATTGAGAACATAGTTAACAGTAGACTGCTTACTCGTGTATCTGTGGGACCACAGAGCACCGAGAGCAAACTCCCAACCATTTCCTGCTGGGAACGTCATCCAACCTTCCGAAGCTTGGTAATGGTAGGACTAGAGTGGTTCAGTTAAAAACACTGTCCGAGACCCTTGTTCGGCCAGCAACGCGCGTCGGCCGAATTCCTATGGGTGATGAGTGTCGAATAATCGACACTGGGGTAATATAATATAATGTAAATATTTGTTTAGATTTGTTTTATTTCCATACATTAGCTTTATATCCTTAAATTATTTATTGTTAATAGCTACTTATATGAATTACTTATATTGTATCGTAGAAGGTAGTTATTAGAACACCACATTCAATATTTGTAAAAATTGTAAGGTAGATAGAAGATAATTGTAAGGATATAAGAGTAGATGGTTATTGCATCATCCATCTGACCTATATATTATTAGGCAGGCAGTGTTCGTCCATTTTTTGTTGTTTGCACATACGAGTACGTTACGTCGCAATTTAAAATCTAAACGGTTGGAAATATTTTTCAAATAAATATTTTGCGAACAAACGTCCAGCACAGCATAAAGTCTGTGTTCTTCATTTAGCTCGCGTCCTGTTCAGGGATAATCCAATTTCTTAATTTAAATTATAAATTTTCATTTAATTTCATAAAGTATTACAAATTGTCTTTATAGGTTTATAAAATGCATGGAATGTAAATGTATGGAAATTAAAGAAAAATGTAGACAAGAAATTACACGTAAATTACAAAGATGTATCTAAATATGTATTTATACCGTACGTAAATAAATAAACCGTAAAATATTTAAAACATAAATCGTTTAGATGTAACGAGTAAAATCTGTAAAATAATCCATTACGATAAGTCACACACAGTGAAATATCGTTAACGTTACGTTTTCTTGCATATTACTTAAGAACTGACCTCTACAGTGCATGGGTCGCAGGTCTCGTGGCATTTCTTGGTGCACTGGTGGTCTCCCCTGTCTCCGAGCAGATTAGCGGTGCAACCCTGTTTTGCCTTCGCGCAAGGCTTCGGGCACACATACTGAAAAGACAAATAACGTTATGCTGCTTTTTGATAAATTATTATTAGGTATAACCGTTACTGTTATGTTGGAGATTCCGTTCCGCACTCGAAGGTTAGAACGACCATATTACTAAGACTCCGCTGTCTAGTCGGCTGTCACCAGGCTGTATCTCATGAACCGTGATAGTTAAACAGTTAAAATTTTTACAGATGATTTATTTCTGTTGCCGCAATAAAAACAAATACTAAAAAAAAGATAATTAAAATTATTTAAGTAGGACTCTTATACAACATACATGATTTTTTTTTGCAATTTTTATAGATAATGATACGGAGCCCTTCGTGCGCGAGTATGACTCGCACTCGGCCGGTTTTTGTGTTTTATTAGGGATTAATACAAAATCATCCCCACACAAAAAGCTATAAGCTGTAATGAATACAACTTTTTTTAAATGTTCTCTCTTACTTCTGCATGCTGTAGAAACTAAGAATGTCGTTTATACAAGTAATTAATCGTATTAGGTTTTTTAGTCAATACAAAAATCTTCCTCTTATAAGTGAATACATTTTTACGGTTTTAGAAACACAATCACTATTTGTATAATGGTGCAACTAGTGGCATAGATCACATTTCTCAACCAGATATAGAACTCTTTGGTTTGTTTGTAGACTAAAAAGATCGAACAAGGCTCAATTGCCAAAACGGCGTTGTGGGTCCAATCCTCACAAGAAACTTAGTTGTCCCTGGTTTACTTTTCGCACTAGGCCGGTATTTTTTGGGGTTCGCGGCTTCTGGTTCTTCCTGTATTCTGTGGGTTTGAAGTCTTGTTATATATTATAAACTAGTGTAACTGTGACGCGACCTATATTTACGTTATAAATGTGATCATGTAAATAAGGATATAACTTTGGAAATTAAGTTTAAAATACAGGAATATTGTTCAACGCCGTAGATAAACATTGAGTATTTTTACGTAAATAAATTATACGGTAGGTAAGATCTTTTTAGGTTACAACTGCAAATAATATCTCACTTACCTTTTCGTGGCGTGGATCAAGAGTGACGTGACAAGAGCGCACACATTCATGACCGCAGCTCTCAACTCTGTATATGCAAGGGCGTGGACATACGACGTACATTGTGTCCAGATAGCAGACCTTGTGCACCTATAAAGCATCGAAAGATCACTTCACTGTATAGTTATTAGTTAATTTGGCTTAATACAGTACGTTATAGCCAACCGTTAAGCTGTTAAACTAGTCACGATACAATGGTGAAGATAATGTTATGTGTGGTAATAATACCGCTCATAATAACTACTAGCAGTTGAGCACAATCGTAGATTTTCAAATTACTAAAAAATCCACTATATAAAATATTCCGGTATCTACTCTATTTCATTCAAAAACAACTTTTTAACTCTTACATTTAATGTTTAATAGGCTCTTAATAAGAGGTGGAATCAAAAATCCAAACAATGTACCGTATTTAATTTTAAATCTATAATTTGCATGAGTCGTAACTAAAAATTATTTTAATGTTAATTAAGCTACCAGAACAATCCCAAAAGATTCCCCATATTCATATAAGCAATATAAACGAATATAGACCGGCGATCTATGTTCTGGGCCTGCGTCGGCTTTCCTCTGTCTCATGCGGGCCTTTGTCCGGAAATGAGACATATATTCCTAATCTTATTAAGCTTTCTAGTACACGCGTATTAATAATTACTAGTATTATTGTAGATACTAATTGTATTCACCTCATGGTTGCAGTTTGGCAGAACGACGGAGACCTTAGTGATACACTTGACGGACGGGTCGGTGATATCCAAGCTACAAGGCAAAGACATTGCGTGACCACATTTCAGGGTCTTCTCGACAGGTTTTATGCAGGGCTCGCATGGTACCGCGCACATTAGGGGGCACACGTGACCGATTTCGCACAGGACCCTGCAAGTTTCCTCACGATTATTTACATGTTATTTTATATTAAAAAAAAAGAAAATATTTGAAAAGGAAGAACATTCTCGAGGGCATATATATTCTTATAAATATTATAATGTAAATTGTTAGTATGAATATTATTCATACTTCCGGCGCATTTTTATCAGACTCCGCACCGCTTAGCTCTCAATGGCATGAATAATAAAAGATAAGGCAGACTAATGTGATACAAAGCGCTGGATTCATAGCGATCAAATTCCTCAAATGGAATCAATTTATTACTTTGTCAAGATCTTTAAAATGAACAGCACCATGTATTTAAGTAATACCTTTCACATTTTTGTATACATTTCGTGACCACGTGTCCCCGATCGTATCCGTGACAAATCAAGGGGCACTGATGTCCACAGGACAAATTTGAAGAGCATTTTTTAAGGCATCCCCCTTCTGGTGACTTATCGAAGTCTGCAGCGTTCGAAATCTAAAAATGAAGGTAGGAAAAGGGATTGTTTTAATGCATTGAAAATCGTACCAAATAGAGAATTTTTCGAAGTCTGTTGAAAAATCGCAAACGTAAGGGTAGGTTACCAGATTTTAGTTGATTATCGCTGCTCTTGCATTTTTTTTCTATTCTCGGCTACATACATGTTTTTTCATCAATCTTTTTATAAGCAAAATACATGATATGTAATAAAAAATAGAGAACTACGGATTGAACATTATGTACCTTCACTGCAGTAGGATTGCCTTTGACATTATAAGCTATTAAAAATTCCGGAATGAATCCATGAAATCTACATTTTTCACGTCCAACGAGGAATATTTTGCGACATTGTGGCCGAGTGAAATATTAATAAGGTTTTTAGAAGTTTCAAAGTAATGACAATTAACGAAGACGAACCAAGTTTTCAACCGATAATCGTTTCCATCTTACCGTGATTTCTTCCAGGTGACGTTCGCATCGCAGTTTCAAACTTTTACCCAGTGATCTACCTTCCTCCAATGTGCACGCAATTTTTTCCCACAATTCTGAATTTTTCCTTAGAATGTCTATATTTCCAAACATGTAGAAACCTGAGACAGAAACAGGAGTATGAATATTAATTAATAATTTATTAATGACAACGGTGAACAAATAACTCGTACCTACTTAATAAACGACACACATTGTAGTTTGTCCACAGGAAACATTGTACGAAATCTGGCTTAATGCTTATAAATTGAGGTAATTTTATAATGCTTGTTTATTAAATTGGGCAGACAAGAACCCAATTAAATAAACAAGCAATTATTTTACAATTAAGCGTATTTACGCCATATACACTAATATTTTAGACATTTTAATTACTCGAACGTAATTAAAACCAAAAAATAGATTATTACTTTCAATAATATAATTTTAATTAGAATCTCAGAATGGTTACAAATTTTTATGTAGATCTTAGTACCAACGTACAATAATTTAAATAAAAACGACCGACTAGGCCACTTAGAACGGTGCGTCATTAGAGCGTCCGTTATGAAAGGAATCAAATAATAAAGAACAACATGACGAATTATCACAGAAGGATAAGGAAATGGTCTATTGAAAAGCTCAACTCATACCTTCCCGCGCTCGCGATAGGGCCACGCAAATCCTGTTTTCCGTACCCAAGAAACCGATTTTGTCCTGATCGTTGTTCCTGACGAGTGACAACAAGATAATTTTCGATTCCTCGCCTTGATAATTGTCCACGACGGTAATCTTTACATTTCGCAGGTGAGCATATTTAGAGCGTTCCTAAAATTGTCAGAGTCCACTTTAAAATAGACACTTTCAGTAATTTCATTTGTAACAAATTTATAAGTAATTTAAGTAAGTATTAAGATTAAGATATTATCATCGAGATTCCGATGTAAGGATTTCATACGATAGGCTACAACATTTCATTTGGAGTAAGGGTCAGTTCCTAATATTTAAAGCTAAATGCTTTAAATATCAGAGTGATTATTCATATGAAAGTCATAGCTTTTTCCGAAATAATTCGAAGTTATAGGAACTTTTTTTACGAACGATTTTCTACTATAATAGACGCGTTAATTTTTTAGCGAACATGCACTTTGTATCTATACCGTATAATACAGAAAAACTGTACCTTTCGCATGTAAAACATTTGACCGGAGTAAGCAGACAGGATCGTCACATCCCCAGGGGCGTAATCCTGTTGAATCAAATAATTTGCCAATCCGAGGACCATATCGGCTTCTTTTTGGTTCGATTTGCTGGAGCTCTCGTCGATTACCTGCAAATAACAATAATTGGTTCAAAAGGGGGTGTTATTCTGGAATGCAGGACAACTGTTACCTACCTCTTCCTTGTAATCGTGCGAGAAGAAGAATAGATTGCTCGTCATGCCTCGCACATCTGGGAAGTCCTTCACGGACGGGTGATTCGCCAGGTCCGTGTAGATGTGGGGCGATATTAGAGCGGCTATCTCGGGCCTCATCCTGTGCTGAACCCCGAGACGCCGGCTGTGAATCTTATTCATAACCATCCGTTCGAACAGCGATACTTCGATGTTGTAATGCTTGGCCAACTTCATATGGGCCGCAGATGGGCGGAGTTGTTGATGGTCGCCTGTAAACAACGTCTTATTTTTTTTTCTACATTATGTAGGTGGTGCCGTCAACGTATACTTGGAACGCGGGCAGAACTTGGGCTGGGGCCTTGTTACCTCATTTATTATTTATGCACATCATTATAATTTCAACCTGTTGGATTTGAAATTATTATTATCATAATATGAGTTTATTGTGTTGCCATTCGATGCGATGATGTAAACTCCGTATTAGATTTTAGATCAAAGACTCGACTATGTCGCTCAAACTTTATTCCGAATAACGCCGCGGCGGCTTATGTACCATTAAGGATCAGAAAGAAGAAAGAAAAACGTACCGATCAGAATCAGGTGCCGGGTGTTACGAGTCAACGAAGTTATTATATGCTGTTCAAGTACTTCTGCTGCTTCTTCTACTATTACTGAAAACAGATATTTATGCGATAAATCTTTGGCATGTTTAGCAAGCGCTATCGAATTTTACTTTGGTGGTAATTCCTGTCATTTCACTGGCATATTCAGGGTCTGTTATTGTCAATGAAGGATGGTTTCACGTATTTTACGTATTGATTGCAATGTTAGCCATAGCTATCAGCAGCTTGAAGACAAAGGAACGTCGGCTATTTAATTAAAAATAAACCATTGATCGTTGTAAAAATGCACGCATTTGAATGCTAGCTATGAAGTGTACAGTTTATTTGGTGTCAAAATTCCATCGCGCCTTCAAATCCTTTCGGATATGGGCATGCATGCTGGATATCTGGAGGTATTGAATTTTAACATTAAAACATTGGTATTGAATTTGATAAAAAAGGCAGGTTAATAAATACGGTTAGTTAGTTAGTTACGGTCTCCTTTTAATTAGGTTTAATTTTAACCTTGGTGGTTTAACCGTTACCTATTGGTGGTGCCAATGATGTTATTAATTTCCTCTGCCTCGCAGCTGCAGTCGTTGTCATGCCAATTACTTTTACATTTTTTAACACTTCTTGATCCATTATCATTCTGGACTCTTCATAATCTGTAGCGGCTTTCACAAAAGATTCCTATAAAAATCGTGTGAGAAATGATTGTACTTTGCGACAAATTTACTTTTTAAAATGGAATCGATATGATCTGCGATATAAAATGACAAATAACAATCTTGTATAAAATATCAAAAATATAGTCACTTGAGTTTTTTCTACTTATCTCGTTTTCATTACTCAAAATGTCCTTTGAGGTATGTACGAAAACCGTAGTGGCTAAAATTATCAACAAATGTTGCCTATAACAATATTCAATTCGAATTTTGAAATATTGAAAGTGCGAAGGGTGTGAAACGTTTAGTTGTGTTAGAAAAAGTGCCAAGGAATGATATATCATATTAACAAGTATTCCTTTTTGTTGCTTCAAAACATAGATATAATTTCGAAGTTATACTACTGTTGGCGTGTTTCATAAAAATTATGCGAGTAAAATTTTTAGGATGCGCGCGCCGACCCCCAAAGAGCGACATGACGAATTCGGTTGCAAAGCCTAAACGTCAAACTTGACGGCATATTTCATGGCAGCCAATAATAACTTTTTGACGTTCACCTAAATTTTTCTCTTACGTGAAAGGTTTCCAACCGAACAGGCGTTTTTCTTTTAACCGTGGGCCGTGATATCAACCTTATGATACGGAAGAAGAGTTAGCAGGCAATAGAGTTGCAATGTATGTGCCAATTGGCGTACTTTGAGTGCCTCAGTTTCGGTGCGCTAGTGTCATATCTACCTCGTACACACTGCGGATTTTTCTAATTTTGAATAGAAATAGACGTCTTGTAGCTTTAATAATCAGTTTATAATTATAGAAATATTTACTTGGATTATTATAAGGATTAATATTCATGATACGAATATCGATATTTTCCATCTTTTTCGTGTTTAATGGACAATTTGAACAGAAATGGACTGAAATTTGAACAGATATGGATGGTTGCCAGCATTAGTTAGACATGCAGCCTAGCGGACTTTCTTGTAGGTTTCTGGTAGGTTGTTGTTCTCTAATTATGACTTAAGATAAAATGTATATATAAGTTTTGGGAACGTGAAAAAGACTTTATTAAATTAAAAGTTGAATACGTACTCTCACGAGTCGCGATTGTTTTTCCCATTTTTTTTTTTTGCAAAATGTGAATACCGCATATTATAAAATTTTAAGATGATTGAAATTGACAACCGTACTAAAACACGTTTGCGTTAGCAAATTTGTGACCAATTTTTTCTGGTCACGAAATTTTATTGTTTCTGGTGTCGAGGGGCTGGGTACAATTTTTGTACCGTACTTACCTGTATGTGCACGACATTTTTCATGAGCTCGGCAACAATAAAGTCGGACCATGTAAAGTATAACACCCAGCGATCAAGTGTAGTCATTTGCTTCGGATTCCTGATATTCAATTGGACGTTATGATCTCGCCGACGATTAACAGACATTTCCTAGGAGTAAAAATGTTTTTATGTTGGCAAATTATCAGCAAATACTTGTACACAAAGCGAATATACTGCTACACATAGAGTTTTATATTTATAAATTAAATTTGTCGTGACATCAAAAACGAATAAGAATAGTGAGTTATATATAAGTGAGTTATATATTATAAAGTGACCTTAGTTAACAATAATAAGGTCACTCGCCAGAATAAAACGACAAAAGGACAAAAAAGCTACATAAATTATTTAAGTATAAATACAATGCACTTACTCTAAATAGATTGATTTTACCATTCAAAATATACATTTTTGAATGAATATATCTAAGTTCTTCTTCATTTTTGGCTTTGCCGTATTTTGCCGTAAGAGTCTTTATTTCCGCAATTGCATCCTTTAGGGAAAAAGTGACTTGGAGATTTTCCAAATCACTACTAAAATTTACATTCGTTACATCGTCGTCGAAGCAGTCCCATAACACATCATTCCTTTTGTTTCTGGAATCTTCTTCATCTATTACGAAATCTTCTTGGTCATCATCAAGATTTGACAGTTCCACGTTGCAATCCATGTTTTCAAATAGCCATTGATGCAAAGGATCCTCATCGTCACGGCCATAAAAACGAAGCAAGGCTTTGATTTCCGCGAAGTATCGACTCACGCACTCGTAACTTAACACTTGGTTGGGTAAAGAATAAAGACGTTCTTGAAAACTCTTGAGATACGTATGAATTCTTTTTAAATTGCTCTTTTCGTCATAAAATAGATTTCTACCTCCTAAATAATCGGCACGGTACCTTTTCCTTAAATTATAAATGTTATATTGTTCCATTGTTTCGCTGCGGGACTGGCTGCCGATGCGAGCAATAGAATCTGTGATTGGAAGAATTGCTTCCAAAAACTGATCTAAAGCATGATTTGTGTAACAGATTACTAGTAAACAGCATTTGTTTCGTTGAGTTCGTAAATTTTTAATTAAGGTTGCTGCAACTTTAACGCCAAGGAAAGTTTTCCCAGTACCCGGAGGTCCTTGAATGACCGCAAACTCATGAGTTAGTGCTAATTTAAAGGCTTCGTATTGACTTTCATTTAAGCCCAACTGTTCATTGGTGGGCCAGGTATTAGCATCCGCCACTTGGAATGAAGCATCAATGAAGTCTTCACAAATAATTTCGTACCTATCATCTGGTTGCAAATAACATGGTAGTTTCGGTTCCGGCTAAAAGGTTGCAGTCTGGTTAAATTATTCAGCATTAATATTGATCTTAAAAGTTGAGAAATATAAAGCCAACTTACGTCTACACTAACAATGTATTTGCTCATCGTCAAATGCTTCGGAAACTCTGGATCTTTCAGTGCATGAAGAACGTGATAATATGGTTCAAAGTAAACTTCGGATTCTATCATTGTGTACCTTTCTCTGGTAAAACAAATATCCATTCCAATTGAATTGTCTACCAGGGATACCGGTATCTAAAAAACATATCAACTTAAAAAAATACATAATCACAACAAAGAAAAGGCCTCAACGGTTTATAATTTGAAAACAGGGATTCTATAGAAAAATAAACCAGAGTTTTACCAGATTAATCGTTTAGTAGCAAGTATTTTCATCTGACTTCGTAAATGGAGAAGTTATTTTTTCAACGTGGATAGAAATCAATCCTAACGATTCGAGGGCAGGTCCTGAGGGGTTATTATGGGGTATGAATCCCTTATTACCTAATACTGAGCGAAAGTAAAATTTTATGGATCTACGAAAGCAGAACTCAAATAAAATATCAAACATTTGACCGAATAATTATTTACTGGATGTTAGAAAGTGTTAAAATTGTCGAACATTTTATAAATAAATACGTTAAAATTCGTACAATGTTTTTTTAAAGTGAAGTATCAAGTAAGTAGCCTAACTACATAAATTCATTATTTTCAGGTTTTGAGTTAAATATCTCACCTTTCCTTGTGCAAGGTATTTTGGGTTATGATCCAGAACTGTGGCCATAATAAAGCTTTTGCAGTTATCTTTTGTGAGTAATATAAGTGAACCATATATGAAACGCTTGCTATGCGCCCATTTTATCATTTTAAATCTTTTTATAACTGTATGATGCAATTGGATCAAATACCCGGATTTCAATTCCGAAACATATGGTTCAATAAATATAACATTTCGAAAGAGCCTGAAATATATTAGGAACACATTACTGAAAACTCTGTTGCAGTGCTGTGAGTAAATTGCGTCGGTCTTTTGGTTCAATTATATACGAATTAAAATGTATAACTGGCACGTACTCAGTAAAAGAAAACATTGTTACGAAGCCTGCATGTTTTCTAAAAAAATTGTAAGATATTTGAAGCCAAGTTGCAGCGGGGTCACGCGGTAGACTATGCCCTAATAACCTATTAACAGGTGGCTTTTGGCTTTATGGCCCACCAGTGGGGCATATAAAGGTTGTATACCTACTTAACTTATACTTTAACATGTGTAATGCAAAAATATGATAGAATAATAATAAATCCCACCTAGAAAAAAAACCTTTCATATTTTGTTAAATTTAACTATACAAACGCGTTTTAACATGTGTGCAAATAAATGTATTAAACGAAAACGATGAAATTAAAAGTGAATATATAATACAATCTACACTTCAAAAATAAAAATATAAATTAGAGCAAAATGCAAAGTTGTTTAGCGGCCGTAGGATGAGAGTGAGACGTTCATTATTGACGCAGGTTTCACGTCGATGGTGAATGAATTCCATTATTTAGACTAACAACAGCATTGTCTCATCAAACAATTGCGACTGGCGTATGTTTGAATTTAAAACAGTGTTTAGCAAGCTCACGGAACCCGTGTAAACACTAGACGACCCTAAGGTACAGTCATTGAGAGCTGGTATTTAGCTCTACCAACTTCAGCTTAATGATAAGTTTAAGACAATATCACTAACCGCACATGGTCGTATTTCTGCCTTGAAGGCTGCGCAATAAATTGATCTGAAACAAATTAAACAGTGTTTTGGAGTTATCAATGAAGTTAAAAAATTATATTTAATTTTTGATTTCCATGACTGATTGACCATTTAGTTTTATATAACGTTGTAGTAAAATGTTATGTTAAGTGATTCCCTTCGCCCTTTGCAGATGCGAGATATAAATAGTTCCGGTTACCTCAGTGACCAGACGTAACGTAGACATAAGGCTTCCACTTAACATAGATTTTTTGAGCCTGTGGTACTTCCCCGGACGGACCTGCCCTGGCCATCCGTGCAATGGTCTAAGCTGGGCAGAATGTATTTAATATAGATCTAAAATTATATCTTAATGTTAGAACAGCGGAGCGTTATTCGAAATTAGCATACATTGTCATTTACTTAAGGTTTATTTTTTAATGTTTCTTAGCGATAAATGCCGTTGCGTCTGGTGGGTGAGTGAGGTAACGCATCTGCAACCCTCCGGGTGTTGCAAATGTCAATGGGCGGCGGTTATCACTTAACATGAGGTGAACCAAGCTCACTTGCCACCTTCTCAAATAAGAAAAAAACAAGACAAACACGCCACAAAATAAACGTATTGGCTTGATTAGCAACACTTCAAAATATAAACTATTTAGTACAACAAAGTTTTTAATTGATTAAAAAAAAAATAAGAATAAATCTGAAATTTTAAAACATATTATCGTGAAGAAACATTGCTAGAGACACATACGGATTCCCTCCCGGATGGGCCCATAGCAGTCCTCCCGTAGCAGCCTGAATTGCACGTCCAAATAGTGTTCCAGGTTGTGGTAGGCGCCGTCTACGATGTTCGGACGTAAAAATGGCCGCCGCTCTAACAGATCCTCACAAGTCGGGATAACGCTCAGCTCACGGAAGTTTTGCGGTGGCTCGGAGTCGTCAGCTTCAAGGACGTGCTTTGAAGTTTTCGGCTTCTCCTGCATAATTGACGGGTTACGACACGTAAACACTCGCAATAAGAGTTAATAATGAAATTTAAAGTAGCGCTGGCGGCCTAGAAGTGGTAATAAGGTGGTTTTGTATTCATCATAATCATCATTTCAGCCTGTTAAAAGTTAACTGCTGAACATAGGCCCCACAGCCTACAACGAAGCGCGATCTTGAGCAACCAGCATCCATCGACTTCCCGCAGGTGGAGTCAAGTACCTAAAGTGCAATGGCCAGTACGAGGCTACCACTCGAGAACCTTTCTACTCCATTGGTTATCGATTCTCCGAGCTATATGGCTGGCCCATTGCAACTTAACTTACTAATCGTCTGATGTCAGTTTTCTTTCTTTTAGTGCATATGGTAGTATTAGTTGTACCAATTTAAAAACAAGGGTCCACTCCACAAACATATTTTGTATTTTTTTTACGTCCGTATCTTTTAATTTACAACTGCCGCCTGCTTTGCTATCCATTAAATAAAAAAATAAACATGATTTTTATAAAAGAAGAAACAAAAACCCAATGAAAAATAAACCAAACAAGCGACATACCTGGTCATCTTTTTCATGATGCGTCAAAATAGATCGTACTTCACTTAATTTCGACTTGTATTCGTCAGAAAGTTCGAACTCGGTTTGTTCGCTCAGTCTTTTCAAACATTCTTGTGTAGTAATTTCGATCAAAGGTCGACAAGTGCGGAGAGCTGTTGAGGGTGAAATATTTGTGACGCATTCACAAAATTGTATTAAGTGTTCCCAAAAAACTGTTTGGTTGTCCCAATATAATTTATTTGACGCTTTATTCCTGTCAAACGGTAAATTCATGAGATAATTTTGTAGAAATATCAAGAATTGCGAGTTGCAAACTTCAATCAAAAACTTCGCTTTGAGACTGTCAAATGATGAGTCGCAGACCTTTGCTAGAATTTCAATAAAGAGCGGATATACATCTGGTCGTCCGTTCGGTAATTTCATAAGATCCAACAAAGCGTCTTGTTTTTCTTTGATTTTCACAAGAATTTCACTGCTTTCGGACTTTGCTAATTCTTCTAAAATCTTAAACCCAATTTTCTTCTGCTTGTTTTGTTTGTTTCTCCTATCGTATACGTTTTCCTCTTGCAATTGATAATTTGTTTTCAATTTAACGGGAGCATTGAAGCCTTCTCTGATTCTCGAATTTTCTGGCAACCAACGGTGTTTACTTTGCGTGGAGGCTAAAATTAAAACTTATTAACTTTACATTAGGTTACAATTCTGTCAATGCAATATCTTCATTTATCTAACTACAATTATAAGATATTTATGTAGACAAGCTGGTGTAATTAGTTTTTTTTAAATATAAGATGATTAATTTCGTATTAGAACTTGCTTATGATTACCTACACAAATCACTAATCAGTTTATAAAAGCTTTTTACTTTGATAAGAGGACATGGACGCTAAACTTGTATCATTTGGCAAGATCATCAGCAAAGTGACGTTTAAAACGCTGAAAATAAATACCGCAAAAAATTTACTACTTCCTTGGCACAAGTATTATATATTGATAATATAAGAAGTGATAAACATGATTGTGTCATATTTGAAATATTCTGTATAAAATAGTCGGCTGACGAAAAAACTTTACTTTCTATCAATACCTACCTTTCCCCCTTCCGCTTCCAGGTTGACTCGACATCATGAACCGTCGTTGTCGGTCCGTATCATTTTCACGATAATTAACAGCCCTTGGTATATTTCGGCGACTCCCGCCTCGTCTTGTATTAATTGTTGAACACCCTGACAAAATTACTTCTATTTTTTATGGTACCGTAACATACAAAGGGAGAAGTGCTGAACCCAGGGACTTAAAACGTTATGCATAATAACGATATCATAACGTTATAAGGGTATCGGTACTTCAGAAAACATTTCGTTATCAATTTTTTTGTATAACGTTATACGAGTAACAGAACGAAATTATTACAGAGAAATTAACGTTATTAACGTTTATTACAACGATAAATACGCAACGTTGCCAAACTTATTTATTTCTAAAGCGCGCGTCTTATGAGCGAGCGGTTAGCTCGGATGGGGGTTCCCCGCACAGCACGGCAACGTGTTAAAACGATGCCTAAACATTTGTAAACCCTTGCGACGAATTTTATTTAACAAGCTTTCATTTAGTTTCACCTGTAGTAGACGTCTTGGAACCACTTCACTCTCAAAATGTAGTGGGTCGAACTTAAATTACAAAGATCCATTGACACATACAATATTCTATACCTCTTATTAAATCAATACTTTATGTCAGCACCATGTGCAACCAAAAAGACTTTCTCGATGTTTGTCATCAATTCTTGCAAATTGAATTTGATCGGTTAGGTACCGATTGAGCTGAAATTTTGCATACATGTGTAAATGTGACAATGCAATATTTTGATGGTACTGATCTGATGATGGAGCTGGAAGGTGGCCAAAGGAACTGCGCAATGACAGAACGACACAACCTCATCGAGTTTGGGCTCATTTGAATCGTCGTGAGGAGTAGTTTGTCTTTTAACGGTAACCAGGGTCTGATGAAGTAGATGGAAGGTGGCCATCGGAACTCTGTAATGGAACGACGCAACCCCATCGAGTCACGGCTCGTTGGCTTCGTCTTGACGAGTACTTTGGTACTTGATGGTAACCGGGTTTGATGATGGAGCTGGAAGGTGGCCATAGGGACTCTGTAATGGAACGACGCAAACCCATCGAGTCACGGCTCGTTGGCTTCGTCTTGACGAGTACTTTGGTACTTGATGGTAACCGGGGAGTGATGATAGAGCTGGAAGGTGCCCATAGGGACTCTGTAATGGAACGACGCAACCCCATCGAGTCACGGCTCGTTGGCTTCGTCTTGACGAGTACTTTGGTACTTGATGGTAACCGGGTTTGATGATGGAGCTGGAAGGTGGCCATAGGGACTCTGTAAGGAACGACCAAACCCATAGTCACGGCTCTTGGCTTCGTCTTGACGAGTGGTACTTGACGCAAACCCGGGTTTGATGATCGGAAGTCCCACGGCGCAACCCCATCGAGTCACGGCTCGTTGGCTTCGTCTTGACGAGTACTTTGGTACTTGATGGTAACCGGGTTTGATGATGGAGCTGGAAGGTGGCCATAGGGACTCTGTAATGGAACGACGCAACCCTATCGAGTCACGGCTCGTTGGCTTCGTCTTGACGAGTACTTTGGTACTTGATGGTAACCCGGGTTTGATGATAGAGCTGGAAGGTGCCCATAGGGACTCTGTAATGGAACGACGCAACCCCATCGAGTCACGGCTCGTTGGCTTCGTCTTGACGAGTACTTTGGTACTTGATGGTAACCCGGGTTTGATGATAGAGCTGGAAGGTGCCCATAGGGACTCTGTAATGGAACGACGCAACCCCATCGAGTCACGGCTCGTTGGCTTCGTCTTGACGAGTACTTTGGTACTTGATGGTAACCCGGGTTTGATGATGGAGTTGGAAGGTGCCCATAGGGACTCAGCCATTAAGCGACACAACCACGTCGAGTTTGATTAGTTTTAATGGGTGGACCGTTTTTAATGGGTGGTGAGTGGTGGTGGTTTGGTGGATGTGTAATGTAATATAATATTTACGCATTAAATGAAATGGATAGAATGTGAAATGTTATAAAGAACTAAATAGTAATTCCATAACTAATTGATACGTAAAGTTATTAAAATATAAAATTATACTAAAAAATTAAAAATAATATTAAAAGAAAAACCGAAGAAACGAAAAAGAAAAATTAAAGAAGTTTTTATCGCATACCCAATTTTTATAAATAAAAGCTTTTTAAGATGTTTTTTTTATAAAAAAAAATTATTTCCGTTTTTTCGTTCTTTCCACCTATCGATTCATTGATTAGAAGTAAATTAGTATAAAATTCGGATTGGCGCGTGTTGCACTTAGTACAAGCAAGTTACTCCAAACCTTTTATCAGTATTAAAGAATTTTATATATAATATTAAAGATTTCATTTAGTATAAAAGGTAGATGATATTAATTGTATCTTGTATTGTATATTAAAAATGTGCTACATGCGACTTTAAATGCAACAAAAAATAGAATCAGAATTATTAACTTTATAATGCATAAAATCATATTAAAAGAAAGCATTTAACATAACATAACATTTGAAAATTGCCAATTAACTACTTTGTACCTGCACACCATTTTATCATTAGCACTTAAATTATGTTTTTATGTACTATCTCAAAAAAGTCCCTAGATGAAAACGCTAAGTGAACGCGAGCGATGATACTAAGTAGATAGCGAAGAAAGATGCCCTCAAAAGAAATAATACTACCTTTACCTCTCATATTCCTAGTAACTTAAGCAAAATTTTCTGTTAGTTGAATTGCTGTACCGACGACCACAATATAAGCGCGGCAGAACATAAGGTAAAAGAGACAGAACATACGCAAAAAAGAGTAAACCGTTTTGAGTAAAAGAGATGGCATAGAACAATAAACAATAACGTTATTATTTTTATAACAATATTTTAGAAACGTTTAATTTGCGAATGTAACGAAACGCAATTATAACGTTATGCGCCTGCAAAGCTTTCCACAATATCGTTTTTAATAACGTTTCTCTTAAAAATAATCTGGCCCAGATAACGTTACTGTATTTTACCGGTATTTTGATCCCTGCGGCTGAACCCCACTGTGAGAGGGGGTGGGGGGTGCGGTAATATATAGTTTCTGAATGACTTATTACCTATCTATCAAAATTAGCGTTGCTTGCTCGTTGCATAAAAAATCCTTTCTTTCAGTTCCTTGTTAAAATCTATCTTAATCAATACTATCTACGGTTATAATTATTTGCAAAATTAATAAACGCAATTCCTAGATTATTATTCCTAAACCTTACCTGCAGGATAGTGAAGACTATCGTCTTCCATTTTAAATTAGTTACGTCACTTAACTCCAAAGCACTTGGATGATCTGATAAAACGGAGGAAAAATAACACACACTATTGGACTACGTTTTTACGAAATATTTCGATAAATAGTAGGGTCACAAAACACTTTTATTAAATAATAACTACAACGGACTAAAGTCTGTTAATGTAGACAACAACATGGGTCAGTCGAGTCGAGAGCGAGAGCACTAACTAATATTACCCAGTAACCACAGCTTATAACCCGCCGGCTGCCCGATGCTGCTACGTACGTCGCAAAAATGTTTGCACACTAAACTTCGATATCCCTAACTGCTTTAGTTTAATACAGTGATGATGACCATGATCTACGAAGAAGTAATATAATATACAAGTAAAATTACAAGACATGTGTACTCATAGTAAAAGAAAGATAGTTATCGTATTCAAGTTTTGGAATTATACATAGGTATTAAGGGCGTGTTTGCGAAATCTCGCGGAATCTGCAAAAATAAGGGGTTTTCAGGTACATTTTGCGGCAAAACGAAACGAATATAATGTAAGTAATAATTATCACATATAGATCCCTCCTTGATCTTAAATGGTAGATAATTTTAATAGATTTTAATCGAAAATTTTGGTTTATAATATTGTAAATGAGAATTTTCGTTGCCACTTCGTTCAAAATGGACGATATCCTGTTGGGTTTAGGAACATTTTTCTCTTATTTAATAACATATTTTTTTTATTTAAAAATATTTTATGTAAGCACACATGTTCAACTCAAAAAGGTAGCTACATTACGTATCAAAATTTTTGAAATTAGTTTCAGAAAAAAATAAAGATTAAAGTCTATTTCTTTCACATTTATATCTTACGCGTGAATCTTAAGTGATTGACATAAAGGTTATTTTACTGGTCACTTTTTTGATTTATTCCACAAAAATATTTAAAGAAATATTAGTCGGCGCTCGGCTGCCGTCATGAGTGGTCACTGTGTCGCTTATAAACAGCAGCTCGTGAGGAAAAAGATCGCTGTACGAATACAAAATATTTGTCGTAACAAAGTTGATACTTTACACATCATGTTCGGACTTCGGACTACGAACGACAAAAGTAAAATTTAATTCACACTTTGTCATATTTTTACTAGAAATTAGTAGGGGTTCATATTTCGTTACGGACTTGATGGAGTGACCTGAAGGTGTACTTCGAGAACTGCTACTGGAACTAACAGACGAGATGAGCTATGTGTTTCGAGTTTGGGCTTGTTTTATTAGGTATGGCGAGACCTTGCCTTCTGACTAGATGGAGTGACCTGAAGGTGTACTTCGAGAACTGCTACTGGAACTAACAGACGAGATGAGCTATGTGTGTCGAGTTTGGGCTTGTTTTGTTAGGTATGGTGAGACCTTGCCTTCTGACTAGATGGAGTGACCTGAAGGTGTACTTCGAGAACTGCTACTGGAACTAACAGACGAGATGAGCTATGTGTGTCGAGTTTGGGCTTGTTTTGTTAGGTATGGTGAGACCTTGCCTTCTGACTAGATGGAGTGACCTGAAGGTGTACTTCGAGAACTGCTACTGGAACTAACAGACGAGATGAGCTAGCTATGTGTGTCGAGTTTGGGCTTGTTTTGTTAGGTATGGTGAGACCTTGCCTTCTGACTAGATGGAGTGACCTGAAGGTGTACTTCGAGAACTGCTACTGGAACTAACAGACGAGATGAGCTATGTGTGTCCAGTTTGGGCTTGTTTTGTTAGGTATGGTGAGACCTTGCCTTCTGACTTGATGGAGTGACCTGAAGGTGTAATTCGAGAACTGCTACTGGAACTAAGAGACGAGATGAGCTATGAGTGTCGAGTTTGGGCTTGTTTTGTTAGGTATGGTGAGACCTTGCCTTCTGACGTGATGGAGTGACCTGAAGGTGTACTTCGAGAATTCCTACTGGAACTAACAGACGAGTTGAGCTATGTGTGTCAAGTTTGGTCTTGTTTTGTGAATTTTTTTGAGACCTTACCTTTGAAATTGATGTATTGACATGAAGGTGTAAGAATACATTAAAAAAGTTGTTTAAAATATGGAACTGTGTATTCTACATCAATTCTGTGTATAAATATTTGTGAAACATGTTAATATAAAAAAATTGAAATTAAGATTATAATTATGAATTACATATTAGTCAATAGAGTATAAATATAAGTCAAAGTAAATCACAAGTCAAAGTAATGAATTTTTAAAATAAACATTCTAGATTACTTAGACATGATTTAATATTTTAAATGTCTAATTTGACAGTGTACAGATTTGATGTAGATAGTCTTGAATACTTTAAAATTTTCGTTTAAATTTAAATACTCCGGGAGGCCTAATAAATTCTTATTTCCATGCAGCCAAATGTTGGCTAAAAGTACACGACACGTAGAAAAGTTGTATGGATAATTAAAAATACAAGTAATACAAAACAAATTTGCACACTTGCAAATTGTAAGATTAGGGATGTCTAAAAGGTATTTTTTTTTGTATATTTCAATGAATAGGTGTAATAAACATGTACTTCAAAAGTTTCGAACGACAGCTATGTGGCAAACTTTTTGTTTCAAGTTTATGACCCCATTTATCGTTTATTGTTTTGTCGCTCGCACTGACCAACTTTTATGATCATGGATTCTGCCTAAAATAATACTTAATTTTTTAAATGACTTGCAATCTTTTGGAACAAATGGTATCTATAGTAAGAACGTCTTTAAAATAGGCAAAACACGAAAAAAAATAGTTATGTAAAAATGTAGTGGGTCTCAACTTAAATCATCAAAGACTTATTTTTATCGCACAGTTATCACATACAACATTTATACCTCTTATAACTCAATTGTTGTTTCAGATGCCAAAGCCTAAAACGATAAAATTTTAGCAGGCTACTACTTCGATATAGATAACAAAAATAATTAAATGATAGAGAACTATAAAGAAAAATCACAAAGATCCGACACAGAGCACCCCGACTCCGTATGGTCTTCCCTATCCCTAGAGTGAACATAAAAAGGCGGAGCCAGAACCTCGTGTCGGAGGTATAAATTGACCTCGCGGGCTTGCTCCACCCAGGATCGACATAGCGACAGTTCTGGCGAAGAGCATGGAAGAGTCAAATTAAAAAAACGAAACAATATTTTTTTAAGCTATTGCACAGCTTTTATCGCGGGCTTTGAGCGCGGCGACGGAATCAATAAATTCCGTAACGAAAATAAAACCTAACACCACCCACTCCGCCTACCACGCAAGAGGAAAGATTTGATTGTTTGTATGCATTGAATAGGCTCCTAAACCACTGAACAGATTTGAAAATTTCTTTCACTGTCTGGAAGCTACATTATCCCCGGATGACATAGGATATATTATATTTTCAAAAAACTAGGAATCCTTACTAAAACTTGAATAATGTAACCCTAAGTGTACAAAAATTACCTAAAATATTGTTTGCATCGCGTGCGCTGCTAAAACTTTTGATAATAGAATAAAATAATGTACTACGAATTTGCAGAACACATCATTATTTATAAAAAGTGTTGCGACAGTATATTCTAACTATTATAGTTATGCCACAATAAGTATTCTTTTACTTTAAAATTTTGATTGAAATGCCGCCGCTAGAAAAGGCTCTTTATTTGTATCTTGGTATTAATCCTTATAAAAATAAATTACTTTATATTTAAGAATGTTTCAATATCTTTATATAACTTTTTGAATGATTAAATTCGGACATTCCATTCGAAAGATATCACAAGTTTAAAAATGTTAGTATATTGTAATTTAACAGAGCTTAGTGACTGACTTAATAGTTCTTATCATTTTTGTAAATAATATAAATAAAATATATATTATTAATCATAATATATATTAATATAATATATTATTAAAATATTATTATTTATTAACATAAATATAAATATCAAAGAAAAAAAATACTGCATAAATAAATAATTATAATCGCATAAGTTGATAAAAGATGCTATGCTATAGCTTTACCCCGACAGAGCCGAGTGCGACAGGTTTTTTTTATAAAAATGTTTTTTTTAATTTTTACTAGTTTGTTTCCTTCGTTTTATTATTTCATTTTTAGTTTCTAGATACTAGCCCGGCTTCGTACGCCATGCTATTTCCATTTCATTTACAGAAAATTATTTTTTTTAACATTTAGCATGAATATTATTGAATCAGCAAAATGCATTCAGAATACCATACAAAGTATTTTACTCAATTCGTTAGCGGGTTTTACCTAATTATCTGCCTACATAGCTACCTTCCTACGTACCCTACTATTACCTACCTATCAAGCTATCTACCTACCGCACGCATAATCAAACATGTATAAAACAAGCTTCTTTTTCTTCATAAAAAATAATAAAAAACATAAAATTAAATTATATACATAATTAATTAAAACGCAAATTATCAACAGCTACGAACTTTTAAATGAAATTAAATAAAATTATATCTAGATATATAAAAAATATTCAGTTTAAAAACATGTTGAAAACAAATTTAACGTAATTTTAAAAAATAAATGACTTCAAATTAAATAAAAGTATCAAGTTGCGTCAGTTACATAAAGCTTCGCCGCTTCGCGCTTGTCGCAGTGTGCGTGAGCCGTGCACGTGTAGTAGTACACCTCTGTACCTAAAATTGAAGCGCGTGAATTCGTATACGCGTCCTTAAGTTTAAGAAATCATTAAGTAGTTTCAGTTACGTAAAAAAAACATACCACATTGAAAAAACTTTGGTTCGGTACCCAAAGGGTAAAACGGGACCCTATTACTCAGACGTCGCTGTCTGTCCATCTGTCACCGGCCTGTATCTCAAGAACCATGATAGTTAGTCAGTTAAAATTTTCACAGATGATGTATTTGTGCCGACTCGCATCTGGCCGGTTTTTAAGCTATTGCATAGCTATTGCATTTATCGCGGGCTTAGGGCGTGGCGACCGAATCAAGTAATTCCGTAACGAAAAAAAAACGTAAACTTCCCCACTCCGCCTATCATGTAGCTCGGTCGAGCGTTCGCTTAACGTGTATGTATATGGTACGGCTGTAAGAAGCTCGCACGGATGGATACTATAATATTATATTATCATATGATGATATGATATTTAGAGGGGTCCTCTGCGTCAGATGAAGCTTTAATAGTCTCGGGATTGAAAGCAAAAACATCAGCTAATACAAGATACAAGATATTTAGAGGATATTAAGTCTCAAACGTATGTTTGTTTATTTCAGTTACCATAAACCTATAGTTTCTATGATAAAAATTCCTGAATTACCTAGTAGGTATTGTAAGGTAATAAAAATATTTACAACAATATTAACTTCTTATTTACCAATAAAAGAAAAAAATTGTTTTATTATCGGCCACCACACTTAAAAAGTGTAACTTGAATTAATACCAAAGAAAAAAAAATACTGCATAAATAATTTCAGTTCTTAGACGTGCCTGTGTAATAAACATTATTATACCTCTAAATCATGGAAACAACAATAGCTTTATAGTTGCAACACTGGGCAGCAAGACAGGAAATATCTAGTATATGACTCACTAGGGATGGGTCGTATCGCTTTTTCTGAGTACCGTATCTGAATCCGATATCGATTTCAAATATCAGATTTCGAAACTATGTATTTTAATATCTAGATATTTTACGGTTCCCTATCCACGTTGATTTATTGAATTCTAAAAAAAAAAAAAATTGTATACTTTAAGGGAGTGGATATAAGATGAATGAAATAACTTCCCTTCATACTTTTTCCAGGCTTAGGACTGGCTGTAATATTTCATACTTATTATAAATATAAAATTGTGCAGGCGTATTTAAAAGTTGATTCATTCTATATACATAATTTTCCTTATATTTAAAACTTAACATTATATATTTACAATTATGTCAGGGTTAATAATTATTTATATCCCTCCGGGTTCAAATTCACGTTTAGGAACGTAAGCTCTCTGATTTTATTCGTCGAAAGTCTTGTTCGACGATCATTAATAATTAACCCTGTCTTACTAAAAATGCGTTTTTTTAAATTATTAAATTAAAAATTTCATTAAAAATATAAATTGAAGTAATACAAAAATGATTTATTTTAACATCTTATATACCGCTTAATAATTGACTTTAACATATTTTTAGAACACGCAATCGAGTGGCAATATTTTTATTATTTGTGTAAGAAATAATACATTCAGTATTATAGCTTAGGGCGGAAGAATTTAAAATATACACACAAGGCACATAAGCCTTGGTCTGATTTCCACCAAAGTAGCCAGCACTATTAAATTATATTTTTCTTTTTGTGTACTTTTATGTTTTCCAAAAATATGAATAAAATTTAGCTAATAAAAATATTCACAAAAAATTTACCTCCTAAAAAATTTCCATTGTATATTTTTCTTCCTTAATTTAGGCAGAAAATTCTTAAGTAGTAAGTTGGCATCCCTTACTATTACGTGTTAAGTACCAATGCAATCCAGCTCAAGGCTGAACAAAATTTCAAAGACATCGTTAATACCGTAATTCGTATTTAAATGCAACAGAGTTTTTTTCCATGCTGTTAGGATTCAAAATTACTTAACTGCGCGCTTTGTCGCCCGTTACGGCTCAAGGCTAAACAAAACAATAAAAATATAATAATATCGTTGTAGTAATCGCTGATACCAAGATTAGTATTTAAATGAAACGGATCTTATTTGCATGGTGTTAAGATTCAAAATTACTTAACTTATTCATAATATCTGTTTAAAAATCTGATATCGTGCATTGCTTGCCGTCCCACTCTAACTTTACAGTAAGTATTTATATCTCACGCGCTTTGTCGCTCAATATCTGATATCGTGCATTGCTTGCTGTCCCACTCTAACTAGTAAGTGTTTATATCTCACGCGCTTTGTCGCTTTGTCGCTCAATATCTGATATCGTGCATTGCTTGCCGTCCCACTCTAACTAGTAAGTGTTTATATCTCACGCGCTTTGTCGCTCAATATCTGATATCGTGCATTGCTTGCTGTCCCACTCTAACTAGTAAGTGTTTATATCTCACGCGCTTTGTCGCTCAATATCTGTATCGTGCATTGCTTGCCGTCCCACTCTAACTAGTAAGTGTTTATATCTCACGCGCTTTGTCGCTCAATATCTGATATCGTGCATTGCTTGCTGTCCCACTCTAACTAGTAAGTGTTTATATCTCACGCGCTTTGTCGCTCAATATCTGATATCGTGCATTGCTTGCCGTCCCACTCTAACTAGTAAGTGTTTATATCTCACGCGCTTTGTCGCTCGATATCTGATATCGTGCATTGCTTGCCGTCCCACTCTAACTAGTAAGTATTTATATCTCACGCGCTTTGTCTCTCGAAATCTGTTTAAAAATCAGATATTGTGGCAAACGCGTATGATATCGCCGTATCGCGATTCGTGTCGGTATAGCGAGCGAGCACGGTACATCAGATTTCGGAAATATCAGATATTGTAAAATACACAGATATTGAACGAGCCAGTAAGCGATATTGGGATATTGTACTAATATCTAGTTTTCATATCTGATACGATTTGTATCGCCCACTTCTATGACTCACTTCCAAAGGCGATTGGTTGAAAACAGGGCCTCTCAACTCAGTACTGTAAACTTGGTATCGTCGATAGTGTTATCATTCTCATTTAAAACAACTCCAAATTTAAGAAAAATGTATTACATTGGTTGATTTTTAATTTAGTAGCGTAATAATGTTATATTAGTACCACCTATGATTTAAAGGTGTCGCTTTTAGTTCGTTTCATACGCACGAGATGTCTCTGTCACTAATTTATTCCCCAGTAAGCCGTGCCGTGGCCATGTGTTAATTTTTCAATTTCAGTTGACTAGACAGTTGTGTTTTGTATTTGGTTTGATCTTCATCAAATTCATTTTACTCTCACAGCCAGTTATTTTTCACTTTGTGCTTTCTTTTCTCCGCGGCCTTGAGTTAGAGCTTGCTCCTCGGGCCTGGTGAAATTTCTGTATTGTGCAGGATACTAAGTGAAATTTATTAAATATTGATATTGAGAAAGGACTCATCAATCATGTCTAGCTCTGATAAAGTGTGTTGTGTCCCTGGATGTGTGGAAAGTGGAAGTAAGTTCTAACAATACAATAATAATACCAAATTCTTAAAAAGATGAATTTCATCTTTTAAAGAATTTTGGAATTTGGTTGGAGGATTTAGAAAAATGTGCTTAATATTAGTTTTCTAGTTCTTCTCACTGTGACATTTATCAACAACCATATTTAAAAAAAATGAATAATTAGCTTATTTCAATTCACAAAACTATTCACCAATATAGTGGATAAAGTTTTTGTGAACAGGTCTATCAGAAGGCTATGAAAAAAAACGTCACATTATAATACGTAATATATTTTGATGATGTACAATTTTAATTCAAATAAATGTTTTATTAGACCTGACAAAAGAGATATGATAGCTATAATGATTTTACTTTTCCTTCAGAGTCACACAAAATCCTGCATGGATTTCCAAATCCTGATAAGGAAAGGGAAAGGTTCAATTCTTGGGTGATGTCAATTGGAGGTGACATATTGGGATTGAATAATAAATATATCCACAAATATCGCCGTGTTTGTCATGGACATTTTGAAGGAAAATATATCTTCTATTCTAATAGAATTAGCAGAATGGCTGTACCAACTTTAAATTTACCAGGTTAGTATGTACACTTATATTTACTAATATGTGTATCAATGTTGTTTATATACTTTTGTTTATATATTGTGTCAAAGAAGCTGGCCATTCACCTGATGTTAAATGTTAACCATTGCCCTTGGACATTTGCAACCCCTCTGGGGTTGCATTGCATTAATAAAGTGGGCCCCGGCTACCTCACCTACCAGACAAAATGCAGAAGTGTAACACTTCCACTTCATGCCCGTCTTCCGGTAATAACCCCTACCACCCTTAATGTTGTTATGATAAGAAAATAAGAAATATTTCTTATCCTAATAGCATTATATTATACTTTTAAGTATATATATAAAGCATATGTATTTTTGTGTTTCAGGTCCCACATCTCTTCCTAAGTTCAAATCCTTTGAACGAGGACCACTAAAATCTATTCAAAATTTCTGAAATACCATCCACCTCAAAAGGTATGTGCTTACTTGTAGATTATTCTAGAAGTCCTCATGTCGTAATCACATTTTTATCATGTTATCAAAAATGTTTTAGCCTTTACAACCAGAGCTCTTGCCAAGAGTTATGACAATGTGGTGATGACACAAATCCAAAATGTTTTGGAGTTATCATCAACCTCAGAAGGTATGTGTAGATGATATATTACCTTAGATTATTTTCAAATGTCTTTGCCAGGTTAGCAGAAATGTGAACTCTCTGGAATTCATTCCCACATTTGATGGTGTCCCTGTTTTTAAAGTAAATTCCCAGGGTTTAAATTGTGGCTAATACAAACATTTATGTGTTTTTGTGTCTATGAATATGAAAGTGTTTGTTTTGTTTCTGTATGTTTGATACAAGACATATTTTATTATGTAATTTAATTATGAAAAAAAAGTAAAGTATCAGCCTATATATGTCCTACTGCTGAGCAAAGGCCTCCTCTGTACAGAGGGTATTAGGGCATAGTCCACCACGTGGCCCCACTTTTTTTTTTTTTTAAATCTACAACTAAGTATTTAATTTACTTAGTTCTTAAAATCAATCTTAAGTGCAGAGATTAGCACTATAAAAAATTTAAAATTTAGTTCTTAAAACTTATAATTTATACATATATTGTTTAAATATCAATATGTATTTTTATTAATTGTGTTAAATCGAGAGAACACTTAAAATGATACTAACAACTTTAAGTATTTTAAAATAATGTTTCAATTTTCAAATTAATTTTTCATATTTACAGAATACTGTAAAAGTAAAAGTATGGGCTTTATTGCTAGAAAAAAGGTTAAATATATGACATCTGCTGAGGTAAAGTTTTGCCAAAAACTAAAATTGATGAAAATTAAGCTTAGTAAATGCCAGAATAAGTTGAAGAAGCAAGCTGCATCACTTAAGGCGGCCAAAAAGGTTGTTAATAATTCTGAATACATAAAAAAATTATGGAAACATTGCCTACAGCAGCAAAAATATTAACCGAGATGCAGTTCCGAGAACATAAAGAAAAAGATAAAGGCCGCCGATTTACTCTGGGTGAAAAGATATTGGCCCTTTCAATATTGAAACAGAGCCCAAAAGGTTATAGGTTCTTAAGTAAACTATTAACACTGCCTACGCCACAAACACTTGTTAAGCTTATAAATCAAGCAAACATCAAGCCTGGGATTAATAGTAAAATATTTAACCAACTCTCAGTTAAGGCACAAAAAATGCAAACGGCATCTCGTTTATGTGTCTTATTATTTGATGAAATGGCACTAAAAGCTCATGTGTCATATAATGAGAGAAAAGATGAAGTTGGTGGTTTCGTTACTGACGGGCTACGAACAGAACCTGATTTTGCAGATCATGCCCAAGTATTTATGATTAGGGGTTTAATAAAAAATTATAAACAACCTGTAGCATACACTTTTTCCGCTTCTGCCACTAAGGGGCCTGAACTTGCAAAACAAATAAAACATGTCATTAGTGAATTGCAAAAAGCAGGACTTATTGTTGTTGCTACCATATGCGATCAAGGCACTAACAACAGACATGCTGTAAAACTGCTTACACAAGAAGCATGTGGTATATTGCTTAGAAAAGGTCAAGAACCTAAAGAAAATTTAATTATTATTAATGACCATGAAATTGTGCCCCTTTATGACTCACCTCATTTATTAAAATGTATGTGAAACAATTTATTGACTAAAAATTTACAATATAAAATTAAAGAAACATCTGGAACAGCAGAATGGAAAAATTTAGAACTGTTGTTAAAAGAAAATCCTGGGTATAAAGGCATGAGACTGATACCGAAGCTCACTGACAAGCATGTGATGAAAAGCCAAATTCCAAAAATGAAGGTGAAATATGCCAGTCAGATATTTAGCCAAGCAGTTGCCAACACTATGGGGTACCTTGCAGGTAAATGTCTTTTTTTTATCAAGGATTGCTATTCTTAGCTTGGAGGCTTTTACAAATTAATTTACTTTAACAACATTGAGAGGTTTCATTTTCAAATAGTATTTAATATTTAAATACTTAGTTGTAGATTTTGTGAAGATAATGCATTACAATAATCATAATGTTTAAGATGTAATACTACTTATAAATAAAATTTTGTAGACAAGAAAATTCTACCCATGGAGTGCAAAAAAACAGCAGACCTGCTCCTCTTCTTTGACAATTTATTTGACTCCGTAAATGGAAGTTTTGGACGATGGGGAAGCCATGGAAAACCACTCCTGGGACCAGTAAAGCCACATTCAGCGCATCATCAAATATGGGCTGAAGCCAAGACATCTTTGAGAAATATGAAGTTCATTGGAATAGATGGAAGAACTGAATCAGTACCAACACTTAATAATTGGGTGTGGACACTGGATGGCATCCAAGTTTTATTAATAAAATTGGATGTTAAATATGGTATTAAGTCAATGTGGATGCGGCATTTAAATCAAGACCCCATTGAAAATTACTTTGGTGCTATTAGAAGCCACGGATGCCGAAATAACAATCCCACAGTAGAAAATTTTGAAGCAGCATATGCTGCTTTATTAATAAATCACATGTCCAGTGTCCACACTCCTGGAGGAAATTGTGAAAAAGATATTTGTAAGTCCTTATATGCACTCGTTATCACAGAGGACTGCAAAGACATGTCGACTTGCAATATATCAGAAATACCCTTAATAGAATTTACGCCAATTACGGAAAAACAAAAAATTCCACATGTCATTGGGCCATTAAATTACGTAACAGGGTGGGTATATTGTATGTGAGAGTTAAAAAAAAATTTTCAAAGGATGCAAGGAATGCAATGAAAATTTACTAAATAAAAATGAAGTGGAATTCATAAAATATAGAGAGTATGCAGGTCGACGTTGGCTTTGTAGTCCAAGCAATTTTATGGTAGAACTTTTTTCTAATTTACAAGATATTTATGATCAAGTATTAAAAAGGAATTTGATTATTAAAAACATTAAAAATTTCATTAAAACTATTATTTTCATGACAGTTGATTTTAATTTTATAAAATGTGATAAACATAAAAACAATTTAATCAATTTCATAATAAATTTATCGAGTAGATTTTTTATTCATAACTACTGTAAAAATTTAAATAAAATACTTGGTGGTAAAAAGAACTGTGATGACGAGGAGGACAACTTTCAAATAAAAGCTAAGAAATATTTGCACAAGTGTATGAAACGAAAAAAATAAATTAATATTGCTATAACAAATGGTTTTATTTCAAAATTATTATATAACTAAATATTACGCAGTATAAAAATATACCAGTATACTACCATATAGTAGTGACGTCATAAAAATGTGACGTAGTGGAAGTAGTTCCAACCAGGTTATTCAGGTGGCGCTATATACATTACCAGATTAAACGGGTGAGATAGGTCTCTATTTCAGTATATTATAAAGTACTCTGTGGTTGAAAATAATATGCTGGGTACACAAACGATGCTTAATGAAGAGATGAAGAGATTGGGCCTGCCAAGATTTTTTGTTCACACTAAATTAAATGTTGTGTTAAATGCTAGTTATTAATTGCAAATGAGCATACTTATTTTTATCAATAATTTTCAATCAATTTTAAACGTTTTTTTATGACAGAAACTAAATTTACTTAAATATGAAATATCTGTGAGGCGTTACTTTAACGAGGCAAAAAGACAAATATATTATCAACAATATATATATATATATATATATATATATATATATATATATATATATAATTAATATGTTATCCAATCATTTTATTTAGTACCAAATAAAATATCAATCCATTCATTCGGCAGCGTTGGGTGAGTTTCAATACTGTGATACGATGTAATCAATCTTTTTTGAATGATTAGTTCTCTTTTTATAATGATCTCGATATGATAGAAATCATCATGCTTTTCATGATTGTTTTTTTAATAATTATATAATATAAAGTGTAAACATCTTAGCTTGCCATCAACCGTTTTTGCTGGACCGTCCGCATCCATGTATTTGCTGTTGTTCTCGCCATCATCCGTTTAGTGTATACGTAGCATAATATATGACGTACTAATGTAATCTTAGATACTTACATATGAAAATGTATTGCTGTTCGTTAGTCTCGCTCAAAGAGTACTTTTATATATCTCGTCTCGCTAAAACTCGAGAACGGCTGGACCGATTTGGCTAATTTTGATTTTGAAATAATTGTGGCAGATCAGGGAAGGTTTAAACGATGAGAAATTATCGAAAAATTGCAAGGAAAATCGAAATAGCAACAATTTTATTCTCATGTAATTTAACTTCTCATGATACTGAATTTAGCCGACGTCTAATAATATATGAAACTTTTTCCAACGATAAATTATAAAAGAAAATAAATAAAAAATTGTACTTAGTTTTGAAATTTCTGCATGTGCATTCTGCAATTGTTAACTTCAGGATCGTATACGTCTCACACTGATGGTTTGATAGTATTAGTAATTAGTATTTTCATGGTATTAACTTAAAGGTCTTGTTACCAGGCCATATAATCTTAATAAAAAAAATGTATTATCATGCAAGCATCAAGTAACACTAAACACCAAACCAGAGTTGCGATGCGTTAAAAAATATAACGAAATTGACACGAATTCGATAGTCGGAAAATAAATATCGACAAATACCGATATATAGGAAAATTTCTAGTGTCGCTCTACCTGCCTTCCTTGCTTCCGTGCATAGCGTAAATAATTTATGTAATAACATCCTTAATCACGATTTAGAACTTTTCTATGCAGAGGAGGCAAGGATGACTTGGCTGTCTATCTGCCCTAACGAAAATATCCCACTGGAAGTAAACCTACAAAAACAATGGGATGTTCCTTTGGTGCGGAGGGTACAGAGAGATACGTTTCAATCTTTAGAAAGTAATTTAGAGCGTGCCGTTTCCTAGCCGTCTCATCTATAGAATCGAGTTATTTATTGGCTTCACGCTTTACCATCAAGTAACTTGGGCACATTACTTGACGATGAAAGCTTACGCATTACTGTAGGAATCCGTCTGGGGGCACCGATTTGTCAACCACAGCAATGCCCTTGTGGTGTCAGTGTAGACAAATTTGGTCTCCACGGGCTTTAATGTCAAAAAAGTGCTGGCCGTTTTTCCCGCCACGGTTCCCTGAACGACATCATCCGTAGGGCTCTTGTTTCCATCAATGTTCCATCTATTTTAGAGCCCTGTGGCATTTTTCTCGACGAAATTAAGCAAGGTCCTCAGTAAACACGATAAAAAATATGGAAAAATTTAGATTTTCGCGAAAACTTCTAAGTACCAAAATTAACGTAATAAATTTCAACTTTAATTATTTTTCCGATTTTTTTTCTTTATTTGTGCTGTAAGAACTTGCTTTTTGCCAAATTTCGTGATTCTTAGAGACTAGGTTTACGGGAACATAGGTTTTCGACCCAAAACCTATAGGGTACTTCCGGTTGACCTAGAATTGTTAATTTTGGTTAAATGCACAAGTAAAGGGAAAATTTCGTAAAATAAAAAAAAAACATTGAAAATTAAGGTACATTTTAGTACTTAAAAGCTTTCACAAACTTTGAATCGTATTTCTAAATTTGTCCATATGGTTGTATGGTGTTGAATCAGGACCTTGATTTTAATACACCTAATAAGGACTATAGATCTCAGTATATGGTATAAATTTCAACTTGCTAGGTCCACCCGTTCCTGAAAATATCAGTGGTGTATATTTAGCAATTTTATTATGGCTGTACAAGTCAGCTCGACTAGCACTTGACCAGTTTTTTCTTTTGAAAAATTAGACGGTAGTTTACACGGTACACTTTTAGCAGATTCACCGTAATTTTGCTTAGAAACGCCGTATTTTTACCCTTGCAACACGGTAATTCTTGATTAACATACACTGGACCACATTCACGTGCGCGCCATCTAATTTCCGCTTTTCTAAGTAATGGTCGTGTGTGATGTTTGTAGCCTGGGCCCACTTTGATAAAATGTGGCATCGCAACTGCAACCATTCGGGTGTTGCAAATGTTAATGGCCGGCGGTTATCATTTAACCACAGGTGAACCGCTAGCTCATTTGCCACCTTCTCACATTAAAAAAAAATAACTACCCAAATTCATGCTGGGAGGCTTGCTGCTTATTGGCACTGGCTCTCTGAGCTCCCATGGTTCACGTTGCCCGTGAAAGAGGGCCCGAGTTGGAATACGCACGGAATGTTCCAGCGCGCCTTACTTTCTCCTCCAAGAGAAGGGATTTGCTCTATGGGCTGGGGCTGCCGAGACGGCCAGCGCTGGCAGGGTCAAGGAAGTATGCGAAAGCGTCCCCGTGGCCCTGCCGATAAGCGCCTGGTTGGGACATCGTGGAGGTTTTAGTTGGTGCGAGTCCGACATAACCCACTCTTGCCCCCGCGAGGGCGGGTATGCGTAGGCATTTCCCCCACGTTAACAAAAGAAAGGGGAAACTTAGTGAGTCGCCGAACAACAACCATCTTGGTTTCTTACTTTACGGAAGAAACAAGTAGCTTTGAAGATATTTTTTGCTATAGCGAAGTGAACATTTAGTTAGTGAGCATTTAGTCTATGAAATATACGCCACTAGTTTAGTGCGTGATAATAATTTTTTTAAATTGATTTTTGCAATAAGAAGTTAAGTGTATTTTTTACTGAAAGTTTTTTATCAATAATTTTATCTAGAGAGATCTCTGAATCCTTTTAACATTTAACTTGTAGGTTTTTGTATCATTTCAGTGTACACGTTTATCATTTTTCAAAGAAAATGTTGAAATATTATCTCCGCAAAAACGAAACTGTTGTCTCAAATAACTTAAACTAAAAAAATTCTGATAAAGGTATTAAAAACTTTCGGGTGATGACTCCTCTGTGATAATTAATACTTATAGTGGTATGTTCGTTATATTAGAAATTTTAAGAAATAATAAATCCCACTTAGTTTTAGGGGTCAGGAAAGTGGAACAAAATAGTTGTAACTCTGTTTTCCCTGCGAATATATTCATATCTTATCACGTGTGTTACAAAAGCCTGAACCCCGAGAGGTCTCAATTGGAAGGCCACACAATGGCCTCTATCCAGTCGAGGTATTTGTAGACGCGCGTGTAGACGCCGGGCACGGGCGTGCCGCAGCCGTTGCCGAATGAGGTGATGCCCACCAGGCGGGGGTGGCCGTCAGTTTGCGTCAGACCCTGCAGCGGTCCCCCCGAATCGCCCTGTAATTCAAAGCGGTGTTAAAACAAAATCAGTAATGCGTCAGACCCTGCACCGGTCCCCCCGAATCGCCCTGTAATTCAGAGCGGTATTAAAACAAAATCAGGAATGCGTCAGACCTTGCAGCGGTCCCCCCGAATCGCCCTGTACTTCCGGGCGGTATTAAAACAAAATCAGGAATGCGTCAAACCCTGCTGCGGTCACACCGAATCACCCAGTAATTCAGGGCGGTATTAAAACAAAATCATGAATGCGTCGGACCCTGAAGCGGTTCCCCACGAATCGTCCTGTAATTCAGAGCGGTATTAAAACAAAATCATGAATGCGTCCAGACCCTGAAGCTATTCCCGACAAATCGCCCTGTAATTCAGGACGGCATTAAAACAAAATCAGGAATACGTCAGACCCTGGAGCGGTTCCCGAAGTATCGCCCTTTATTTCAGAACGATAAAACAAAACAAAATCAGAGCTAAGGCTGTGTCCGCGGGTAACGTAAGACCTTCAGGCGTTATTAATCAGAATGGAACTTGTAGTGTATATGTGAGAGAATGCGTTGTGTGTGTTGAGAAGGAGATTCTCAATTCGATTGTTTTTCTTTTTGAAGTCAGTTAAAAAGACGAGTGGTGACGGTAGTGTGTTTTGTTTCATTCACCTGGCACGTGTCTGTGTTCCCCGTAGTGTCCTGGGCGCACAATTGCTCGTCGATGATGCCCTCGGGCAGCCTCCGCGATACCGTGTAACTCTGATTGCAGATATCGCGCGGCACTATAGTCAGCCGGGCCTTGAGCAGTACCTCACTAGTGGCGGCCCCTGAAATGCATTTTAATTGGCCCTCATTGACCGTTTTGCAACGCCATCTATGAACCATCCGGGGCTTAGTTGTATTTGCTGTCTTATTTAGTTGTCACATCCAATAGACACCAAGTTCGACAAGCGTTTGAGTAGACGGCTAGTCGGCACTCAAATAATTAGTTGATGCTGATGTAGGCTAAAATAAGACTATTTCACCTATGTTTTGTGGCGTTTCCGGACGCACCAACAACGTGTGGTGTTTCCGAACGCACTCAACAACGCATTTCCGGAACGCGAGTTCGGAATAGAGACGACATGTTATAGACAGAGTTTAAGAGAGGAACAATGGACACGTAATTATACGAGCATTTTCTAACTTGTGGAATATTCCCATATCATTGGTGGTACTATATTGCTCTGATGTTTCATATAGTGTATTGCTTGTGTAACCATAATTTGCCACATGGCTAATATAACTAATAAACAGTTTTATCCAGTGTGTGCTTTTATTGAGGACTTGCCCACGCTGGCGCTTACGGAAACAGAAGTGACCATACATATCCCTCATTGGTGACCCCGACTACGCAACCTCGCACCGTGCCCGTCTCCGTGTCCTCGTACTGGATTCTACAAGGTTATCTCCACCGCGTGTTTTTCGACTGCTGACAGCTATAAGCTACGTGACTAATGCTACTGCGTCAGACCACGTGTATAACCTCTGCTACATCCTGCTACTGCATGTGCGAGCTTTAACATCCATCGCTGCCTGCTAATCTACAGTTCCTGCATCAGTGTGGCAATCCGGTCAAGTTCTTCCTACCCTGGTTCAATGTTTTGTGTGACAACCCAAGGACTTGGTACATGCATGTAAATATAAATAAAACTTATTTACTTAGGGTCATTTCCATTTAATTATAAATTTATATTAAATCCTATAAGGAGATCAGCATGGTTTGTCCAATATAATTTTGGTTTGTCTGATTAATATCTAAACATAAACATGTTTTTAACTTTGGCACATTAGCTTGTTTACAATAACTATAACTATAATAGTAACTTGTTAAAATAAACATAATTATTGTAGCTTTAAGGGGTCTTCATTGCTTTACTTAATATAGCTAAAGTGTGTGTGTACTTGTTACTTCTTTACACTAATTACCATAATTATTTAACTTATTATTATAATTATTTTGTGTCTGTACTATTATCATTTTATGTTGCTATTGGCATTGTTTACTCTTATTTCTTTTAATTGTGTGTAGTTACATTTTAGAATCTGTACTTTCTGTTGTTCTTATATTTTTCCTTTAACATACTCTAAATACTGTTAAATTTAAGATCATATTGTCATTTTTTTAACCATGGAGCCTAATTTAAATGTAGTAAGTGAACAAAACACCTTATTACAGCAGCAAAATGCATTATTAACTGCCGAACTAGAAAAATTTAAAACATTGCATTCTAACAGTATTACAACACACAACACAGACACTACCCCCAATGATCTCTCTACCTCTCAATCTCCCTCAATTTGTAGTCTCTATTAAGCTTCCTCCTTTCTGGGCAGATCGGCCTGCCATTTGGCTTGCACAGGCTGAGGCCCAGTTCACAATTTCTGGTATCTCCACAGATTTAACTAAATTTAATTATGTCATCGCTCAGCTGGATACCCGACTAATTGGAGAAGTGGAGGATATTATTCTTCAACCACCGTCTGAAGACATGTATAGTAGGTTAAAGTCAGAGCTCATTCGTAGGCTCTCAGCATCAGAGGAACAGCGTGTCCGTCAGCTTGTTAGCGATGAGGAGCTTGGCGATCGTCGCCCTTTGCAGTTTTTGCGACATCTTAGGTCGTTAGCTGGGAATGCTCTCACGGACGAAAATTTACTCTCCGCCAACTTTGGATGCGCCGCCTACCACAGCACCTTCAGGCGATTTTGGCCGCTCAGTCTGAACTGTCACTTGACAAAATTGCTGAGCTAGCGGACATAATTTTGGAAGTTTCTCCTGGTTTAGGCACACCTCGCTCACCCACCGTCTTTTCAGCTAGCACTCCAGCCGTCTCATCTTTATCGCTCGATGACATCACACGGCGCCTAGATGAGTTTACGCGCCAGACCGCAGTGCTCACTGCCGAACGCGGTAGGGATAGGTCGCTCAAACCAGCGTGATCGCTCGCAAACAACCGGTAAGTCTAAAATGTGTTTTTTTTACCACACGAAGTATGGGACGAAAGCAGCTAAGTGCGTTAAGCCTTGCACCTGGACGCCGCCGCCTTCGGAAAACTCATTTCGGAACAGCAGTCATTAGCGGCGACGACTGACTGCTTACCGGAGAGTCGCCGATTATTTGTCACCGAAAGCGTATCGAAGCGCCAGTTTTTAATTGACACAGGCTCAGATCTCTCTTGTTACCCATACCAGTGGTTAGCCAATAAGCCAACGCTACCGAACTATACACTGGCTGCTGCTAATGGTAGTGAGATTCGCACATTTGGTTTTATACAACTGTCATCGAACCTAGGACTGCGTCGCGACTTTCATTGGCGATTCGTCGTCGCTGACGTCAGCACTGCCATCATTGGTTCAAACTTTTTGGCGCACTACTGTCTATTGCCAGATTGTGCCAATAAAAGACTTATTGACAGCGGCATATCATGCGCTGCTGTCATCGCAATATTAGGTCAGACCAGCATCAAAGTGGTGTCTGCTCCTTCGTCGGAATTCAGCGCAATTTTGGCGGAATTCCCGTCAATTACTAAGCCGCCTGGTCTTATTCGGGAGCCGAAGCATAGCACGGTTCACCACATCTTGACCACAGAGGGAGCCCCCGTTTCATGTCGCCCTAGACGCCTTGCGCCTCAAAAGCTTCAAGAAGCTAAGAAGGTTTTTGATGACATAGTGCGGTGTGGCACAGCTAGACCTTCAAAAAGTTCATGGTCCTCGCCCCTCCACATGGTTCCTAAACGAGACGGCACCTGGCGACCTTCTGGGGACTACCGCGCGTTAAATTCGCTCACAGTACCTGATCGATATCCGGTCCGCCATATTGGCGATGTTGGTCATAATATCTCTGGCTGTACTATATTTAGTACGATCGACCTCGTAAAGGCCTATCAACAAATACCTGTTGCGCCTGAGGACATTTGGAAAACCGCCATAATAACACCCTTCGGACTATATGAATTTCATTACATGACGTACGGCCTCCGCAATGCTGGCCAAACGTTTCAAATATTCATTGACGAAGTTACTGAGGGACTTGATTTTTGCTATGCGTACATCGACGATATTTTGGTGTATTCGAAAAGTGCCCGCCAGCATGCCGAGCACCTCCGTATTCTCTTCAAACGTCTTGAAGACCACGGAATTGTTATTAACCCGGCGAAATGCATATTTGGTGTTCCCGAGGTGACCTTTCTCGGTAACCGCATGTCCGCCTTAGGAACAAGACCACCAACAGAGCGTATTCAGGCATTGCAAGATTTCCCTCTTCCGAAGACCGTATAAGGACTCCGCCGTTTTATAGGGATGGTCAACTATTATCGCCGATTTTTGCGAAATGCTGCAGAAAAGCAAGCACCGCTCATCGACGCGATCGTTGCTTCCCAAGGCAAAGGTCCCACACCAGTCACTTGGACACCTGAGCTCGAAGAAAGTTTTAAGGCTTGTAAAGACAGCTTAACGTCTGCTGCTCTTATGGCCCATCCACTTCCAAACGCTGAGCTAGGTCTCTTCACAGACGCCTCTAATTCTCACGTCGGTGCTTGCCTTCAGCAGAAAGTAGGAGATGATTGGGAACCCTTAGGTTTCTTCAGCAAAAAGCTGAAACCCAAACAGTCCCAATGGCCAGCTTACTACAGAGAGTTACTCGCTGTTTATGAGAGCGTGCAGCATTATCGACATTTTCTCGCCGCGCAACACGTTAAAATTTACACGGATCACAAGCCGCTAGTGTACGCGTTTGCGCAACGTTGCGAGAGGCTGCCACCCGTACAGCTCAACCAACTTTCTTTCATCTCTCAATTCACGACGGACATAGTCCATGTGAAGGGGACAGACAACACGGTGGCGGACGCCATGTCCCGCATCGAAGCCATCAGCTTCGAAGCTGACCATTCTGCCCTCGCCACTTACCAAAAACTCGACGATGAATTGAAGAAGTATCGTAACGATACAAATTCTTCTCTTAAGCTAGAGGATATCATCGTTCCTGGCACTACATCATCTCTGGTCTGTGACACGTCCACCGGACGCCCGCGACCTTTTGTCCCGGAACCTATGCGGAAGAAAATCTTTGACCAGCTGCATAACCTTAGCCATCCTGGCGCCCGAGCCACAATACGACTGGTATCTGACCGTTTCGTTTGGCCTGGCATGTCCCAAGACTGCCGCAGATGGTGCAAAACGTGTGTGCCTTGCCAAAGAAGCAAAGTAACACGGCATACACAATCTCCGCCCGGACACTTTTCCAGCCCCACGTCTCGACTAAAACATGTCCATATTGACATCATCGGGCTATTGCCATTTTGTTCTGGTTTTCAATATTGCCTTACCGCTGTAGACCGTTATACTCGGTGGCCAGAAGCATGGCCTATGAGTGGTATAACTGCGGAAGAGGTGGCAAGTACCTTCGTGGCCGGCTGGATTTCTCGATTCGGTGTTCCTGCTGTCATAACAACTGACCAGGGACGACAGTTTGAATCGGACCTTTTCAAACGCCTTACCGACATGTGCGGTACTAAACGTATTCGAACTACTAGTTACCATCCTTGTGCCAATGGACTCGTTGAGCGCATGCACAGGCATTTAAAAGCCTCTCTTATGTGCCATGATGATTCCTGGTTAAGCGCATTGCCATTAGTCCTCTTGGGGATGCGTGCTGCGTTTAAGGAAGATATACAGGCAACAGTAGCAGAAATGCTCTATGGAGAAAACTTGTTACTCCCAGGAGAACTATTGGTATCTTCTGGAGTTTCTGGCTTTGAGGAGCTTCCGGATTTTGTTTGCAAATTAAGA